TACAATGGGTTCTGTCTCCATGTCCGGAGCCAACATTGATCCTCCAGGGCTCATCTTCAATTTTACAGACTTCCCATTGGCCAATGAGACGTCAACTTCAGGGTAAGTGGAGCAATCTTCACCTTGACGAATGGGACGAAGTGCATTGGTCGCCCCACTGTCGACCAATCCCACATGCTCCCCATAGCTCAACTGTTGCAGTTTGAAGGTTCTCAACGCCTTCAGTTGTTGTTGAAGACGATCCATGAGGTCTTTACGTTGATCCCCACCTCCTGATGCCGAACTTGAGGACATCGCCGATCCCTCACCAGTGACCGACTTGAGCATCTTGCCTGCCTCCTCCAAGAGCTCTTTGATGGAGCCTTCCGATGAAACCGACTGAGTGTCTGAGCTCTCCTTCTGCCCTCCTGACTTCTCCTCAGCTTCTGACTTCATCAACTTCTGCTTGTTGTGGTTCTGAGGGGAGCCTCCTCCACTTCCTTTTGGCCTTGAGCACGCCGGCGACATGTGGTCAACAGCGCCGCAGGTCCAACATCGGCGCCTGTCATCCCGAGACTCATGCAACCATTCGCACTCCTTCCCCTTTTTGCAACCACCCTCAGAGTTGTAAAAGCGACACTTCATCTTCCCTTTTTCTTCTTCTCCTGTTTTCTCTTTCCCTTTTCCTTTCCCTTTGTCAGCCTTCTCCAACTCCAGAGACTTGATCTTTGGTTGTTCTCCTTGAGGAGCTGCAGATCCTTGACCAGGTCGTTTGTCCGTCATGGACAGTTGGTCCAGTTCAGCCAAAAGGTGGTTGGCCAGTTGTTCCACATTGACCTCTGTCGGCGTGGTATCAACTCCCAAGCCAGATCTGACAAGCGACACCCTAAACTGAAGCTCTCTGTTGTTGTCCAGGACCCGTTTCGTCATGCGCAGCAATCCCTTGAGCTGCAACGCCGGGTCAGGTGCCACTGCCCCGATTTCACGGGCCCGAGCTCTCCACCGCAACCACCTTCGAAGAGCTGGTGGACCTTCGCTGATCTTCTGAATCTCTGGTGGATCTTCAAGACTCCTCAGGATGTTCTGCTTCTCTGTAACTCCTCCAGGACTGTAGGTGACCATGAGGTGTGTCAGAATGCCGAAAGTCGACATCCTTCGAGCTGAGACCAGTTCATCTCGAACTGGTGGCGGCACCGCTTGCAGCATCATCGATGACACCCTGCGCTCCACCCGTTGCCACTTGTCCTGTGAGACCTCAACTGGGACCGTCGCAGGATGTTGGATGCGCTCAATCGGATTGAGAGTCATGTGGACCTTGTACCATTCCTCCGCCAGCCTAACCACGGTTTTCCACCACTCACTGGCCGACATGGACAAGTCTGAGATTATTGGCTCAGCCAGCAGCATCCAGTCGCCCAAGATCAAGGGCCCATGCTGTGGCTCCCAAGGTGCCAAGGCCGGCAAATCGGGAGAGCCCGATCTGATGACCTCCACTCCTCTGATCATTCCACTTTCCTCCTTTGACTCCGTCATGCGCTTCTGCATCTCCCGCATCGAGTCCATCATCAGCTTCATGAACTCAATAGATTTCTCTGTGAAAGCTGCATTGGGCTGCTGAGCTGAGTCTTCACCTGACTTCGGACTTCTTTCTTTAGGGGGGTCTTCAGCCTCCTTTTCTCTGAAACTTCCAGCCTCCTGACTTCGGGGGTCTGCGGCCTCCTCTCTTCGGGGACCTCCAGCCTCCTGTCTTTGGGGGTCTGCGGCCTCCTCTCTTCGGGGACCTCCAGCCTCCTGTCTTTGGGGGTCTGCGGCCTCCTTCTGACTTTCTGGAGTGGAAAACCGCACATCCCCTTCTTGCAACTTCGATTCTACTTGATACAACCTCTGCCTCAGCCTCCTATTCTCTACCATGACTTCATCAACAAGTTGTCTCAAATCTTCCCTTGCTGATTGATCACCGAAATTCATGGTGGAGTATCCAAACGATTGCAAAACTCCCAAACTTCTCATTCTTTCTTCTTCTTGCTGCAAAAAGGTTGGACGGTAGAGTTGGGGTGTCAACCCTGAAAGCATGGACCCAGGTGGCATGAATGCAGATTGCCGCAACTGCTCATCAGTGAACAGCGGCAACAAGGACACTTGTGGGGTGGCCGTCAAACTTCCAGGACCACCAGGATCTTCACTCCCCCTAGGCCCTTGAAATCCCACTTCTGAACCATGCTCCAAACTCCTCTGACCCGTCGCAACCGACTGGTTCCTTAGTTGGCTGTCCTCCAAGGCTCCTTGCATTGTTGGCCCCTTGGCCTCAGGTTTGGTCTGCGGAGTCCTGAAGGTTGATCCTAAAAGATCCTCAGGGGAAACTGCAGGTGGCTGACTTGGCGGTGGCACTGACGGTGGAAGGGACCTAGGACGTGCAGCATGCTCTAAGTGAGGTGTTGTGGACCTAGCTGTAACTTCCTCTTTTGGAAATCCTACAACTTGACCTCCATTCTGAACCTCCTTTTCCTGGCTCGCATGTTGAACATCTTCTATCGCCTGTTCACCTCTCTCTAGTGCTTCCACTGCTAACCTTTCCTGCGCTCTTTTCATCTGTTCTTCTCCAGCTAGCAACTCTTCTCTCGTTGCCAGCCTTCTTCTCACATCCATATGCGCAGCCTCCGAGCTCTTTGGGCTCATAACCTGCTGGGGTTTCCAGCAGGCCACAAGCAGGTGCACTCCTCACGCGCCTCTCGTTTTCAGCGCACAGATGCCACGTCAGTGGCTTGATCTCTAAAAGGGCAGCTGTCAATGCTGCATTGGAAAGTCTGGACATGCAAAAACCACAGAACTCCAAAAAGATCTGTATGCAAATGCGAACTGCACATCAACTGAATTTCATACCGCAAAAGCCAATGTTTGAATACGTTTGAAAGTTTGGACATGGTTGGATCTTTAGGAGTCTATTAGCAATAATCATGTTTACGGCACTATCATCCATTATCCCTGCATCATTTGTGTAATAAATCTATCATGTTAAATCATGTTAAATCCATATGATTATATAACCTCCGGCAATAAAAAAACAATGCAACATAATTTAACAAACATATGGGAAATCCATGGAAATCCCAATTTTCAAACATTTCAATAGGTAGATCATCTATAAATGACATAAATGTTTCATTTTCCATGGCCATGTCAAACTACTGGAGGCAAACCATTTCTGCTACTATCATCCATTGTCATCCATCATCATCCCCTTTATCCAGTATCGTCCAGTATCATTCATTTATCATCCATTATCATTCATTATCATCCATTATCCCTATATATATAATATCCATTTAGGGATAATGGATTGCCTACTAATTATATTTAATGACCTGGATATTATACAATTATATATCTCTCTCTCTATATATATATACACATACCTGGTGCACTTGAATCATACAAATTGATACGTCAAAACTAAATTCCTTAGGAATCGTTCATCAATATTGACTTTTCATATGCCCGAACGCCTATTTCTACGTCATTGGGAATTTTATGGAATTTTGATGATTTTTGCCTCTTTCAGCCTTAATCTCCACTTCACCAACATGTCCCCGCCCAAAAGCAAACAGCATTTCTTTCCCTTTCCCTCTCAACATCTTCCAACAACAGCGTTGCCACATGCCACTCAACTGGCACGAACCCAAAACAAATACACCTGAGTCAGATATTGCTGCAGTGAGCGAAGAATCCTTTGACGAGGACTCACACACCTGGTAAGGTAACAAAAGCGGCCGATGAAGTCTTCATCGCTCGCTGTCGAATATATAATAGGATTCTCAACGCACTCTGCACGCTGACTTTGTTCCTTCATTTTGTACACAACATGATCAAACATGTGGCACTTCGGTGCCAAAGGAGTTCTTGACATGTTTTTTTGATGGCACAAAAAGGCCAATCGAGCATATCCCTTCAGGAAATGAAACCCAGCACTGATGATTGGAATTGTCTTCGCTTTTGCAATGAATGCATTTGACTTGCAGACGCTCGACATGACATAATTGATAGCTCGGGTGGAACTTGCCTCATAAGTTGTTGGGCAATAACCGAAAACATGAATGACCCAAACCAGAAGCGGGAAACACCAAATTTAGTGGAAAGGTTCAAGATGGTTCAGGAATACATACCACCAGAAAGAACATTCCATAGAAAAATCCGAAACCAACCAAGTGCCATAAGATATCTAAAATGATAATGGTCGAAAAAAACAAAATATATTCTCAAGTTACTATCAGTCGGTAAATCTCGTTGTCAGGGTCCATCTCCAAGCTGTATACCCTGCAGAAATGCTCTAAAAATTGGCAGAGCGAGGTGGTGAATGCAGCCTTTGACCAACCCCCAACAGGCTCTTGGGACCAGTCCATCCAAGCAAGGCCCTGTCAATCTTTTGCACATAGTTGGTTTTCTGGTGTTCCTTGGGCGTGGCCCCCTTCCCAAAAAGACATCAAGTCACATAAGATGGAAGGAAAAACAAAAAGCAACCAAATCAAAATTGAACAAGATTGCAACCCAGAATCTCTGCAGTACTCTAGGAACATGCGCGTAAACTCTTTCATTCTCTGCTCTACATCCCCTATAATTACCCACATTTTCTGGTTGAATCCTGATGTTTGTTCAGGTCGTTGGCCTGCGAACCTTTACGCCTCGTGGAGCGAGGGCTACAGGCTATATATGGGACATAGTGGGATACATCTACATTGGATATTATGTAATATTCACATTATTCATCATATTCGATACTTGTGGACGTTTACAAAACATAGAAGAACATGGGATATGATGGGATACGTACTCCATGATATGGGGATTTGAAGGGATTTGACTGATTTAACTAATGTTGTAACTCTCATGAAACCAGGTATAATGCTCTTGGTTGGTGGATTAAGTATTTGCTTTTGATTTCCATGAAAAGAAAACTTGGGTTGATGATGTTGATGATCCCAAGGATATTATTGAGCCGGATGCCCTGGGAATTTTCAGCGACAGAAATGGTGGTTTTAACATGGTTGTTTTATCATGAAAAAGGAGGGGCCCAATATCCATATATTTTGTCGGTTGCATTATCCCTGTCGACCATATCACTGATAGCAAGGCTCAAAGATGGGAGTCACAAAGCTGGCACTGATCCTGAGTATGACTCAGCATTCGGTGACCCGCCATGTGAGATTTGTGAGATTGATGTGGCAACTCGCCAGCTGGCAATTGATGAGTCACTGAAGGGCTTGAACTCTCGCACCAATGAAGGTGCCATGGAGGTTGACATGTACCAGTTGCTCCTGTTTGATCTGACAATGGTGTTCAGCGTCATCATCGTTAGACACCGCAAACCTACGGGACAGTCCAATGCGTTTGGTTATTGACAAGGTGACGAAGCCTCCATACCATGCAGGGAAACTGCGAGAGGCATGCGCCTGGAGTTGCATTGCATGCGCGCCTGGATCAATCTTTCCATGGGCAGAAAGTATCCTGCCAATCGCCAAGTACCCGGGAACTGGAATGATAACCTCTCTTAATATTAGGTGTGTTAGTTCTCATGGTTTATGTAGTTTGTGTTCTCTATTTGATACGATGATACCTCCACTTGACTATGTTCCGGGGAATAATAAAAAAAAACGGTTTCTGGTAGATTTTGTTTTAAACCATTTCAGTGACGACTATGTTGAAGATAGAGGTTCAACAGTTTAACAGTTCGGTATCCAGTTTATGGATGTTTATGGAACATTTTAGAGTCACCTCTGCGCCAGGAATTCATCAATGACTTGGCCCCGACGCTGTTGTGTGCCAAGGCATTTTTTCTGGGAGAACAATTTGGGGAATTTATACCTTCCGGAACTTCCGGTGATCAAACGTGGCAATCGAAAATCCATCATGGATGGTTTTCCCATTAAAACCCTCCATTGGAACTGCGGATTTTCCAGCTATGATTGATGACACTGCAGGGCACATGGAGAAAAACATCCAATCTTTAGCCATTTTGGCGGAACCAAATCTTCCAAGTGCCTGGTCCTGCAAAGGGACACCAATGGTGAAGAGTCTAACCAAAACAAAAGTGTTCCGTTTCCTACACACATTGAGTTAAAAATGATACTCATTGCGCATGCCTGCACACCTAACTAACATAACGAACTGGAAAATCCACCATTTTCTATGGGAAAACTCACTATAAATGCCCATTTTCAATAGCTATGTTAAATTTTCCACAGGGTATGATAAAGGGAACAACCACCTCCTGGCATTCCAAATCGGATTCAACGTGACACAAGGCCCCTACCAAGCGCTCGTGACTGGCAACCTGAGGAATCCAGTGTTTTTGTAACATCCGAATCCCAATAGAAGCACCCCAGAGAGATCCTGAAAGGTTCGATTTTATTCCAATCATAAACATCGAAAATCCATTATTCCATTATTCCCATCATTTTTGGTCCTGGAGTTCTTGGAAAATTTCTGAAACATTCGCCATCATTCGCGGCAACGTTGCGATTGACAGGTTTCTAGCTACCTCACCGAGTGGTTATCCGAGGCGTCTGACCGACATGACAGAAACCTCGATCCATGAGGGGACCGGGGTCAGTTTTGAGGCACAAATGAACCAAAGTGGGAGAAATCCATAGATGCGTTGACTTGAAAACACATACAGTCACATACATATCATATTTATATATAATATATATACAATGATATATATATATATATATACACTATATAACTAAACATATAATCAATACATATATATATATATATATATATATGAGTTGCAGTCCAGATGATAACTTGAAGTTCCTCTAAGTGGATAGGTGGCGTTTCATCAAGAGTTCACTCCACATTGCAGCAGCGTCGATGGGACTTAGTTGATTACCACCGAAATCCCAAAGTTCCCAGGCATCCAAAGAACTCAGAGACTTCGTGTCGCCTTTCTTGAAACCCGCAGACGTGACCCTCCGCCAAGATACCCCAAATGGTTTATCTCAATATGTTTGGGACCCATATGTGGCCCCATCAGATCCTGCAAAATTGAAGTACACCAGTGACCCCAGAGCTTTATTTTGCCTTTATCAGTCTTTTTGTGTGGTCCTTCATTTTTGGACATGCCCGTGTTCATGAGCCACTGTGCTCCGAAATTCATCACCTAAGTTCCTCATTGTTTACAGGGTCTTGAGATGTGACAAGATTGTGTGTGGTGGAGATGGACTACAGTATGTCAAGATGTCCGCATGTGTTGCGTCATCTTGAACATGAAAAGATCGTTTTGTCCAACCATTGGGAATTTACTCGCAATTTGTGGCAGTTTTAACGGGGAAACATATGACGCATATGAGCTATGGTCAATACTCATGGTTAATAACCATTAATAGGGGCTAGTCATCCAATGGTTCATAGGGATTTATAATAACCATTATGAGGATCCTTATTATGGATGGGATGACCATCAACCATATAGTGAGTATTGACCATGGCTCATATGATAATTATGACCGACATGGGATGGAATGGGGGTCCACATTTTCAGAGAAAACAAACAGATGGAGAGGGGTTCAGACTCTTGGCAGCCATCCTCATGTTTAGTCATGTCGTCCTGTGGTTTTATTCCATTTTGGTTGGTGGCATCCGCATTTTAGTTCAATATATTGGATAATTCAAGTCAAATAAATTCCTTGAATCCGCATTTGTGCTGTTTATATAAATGCTCAAGTTGATTGGCGGCATCCTTTGTATCATTGCATTATCATTGCTTAAATCCCCATTTTGCTACTCGGATTGGTTACCTCTCCATCCTTCTACAGTTCCCCAGGGTTCCCCGGGTTCGCGCATCATGGCTTTTTCGTTGGGCCGCCCAGGTACTTCCTATCCCAGCTGCTGCAAAGGAAGCCCTGGACCTACGAAAAGTCTTCTGGAAGGCAGGCTGCAAAACATACAGGGGTCTTCTTCCCGAGGCTCTAATGAAACCAACAGGGATCTAGTGGAACTTAATCATGATCAAAAACAAGGTACTTCTGTTGGTTGATGATTCGTTCGGGTTTTTACTGGGACTTCACAATAAATCAAAAAGGGATTGTATGAGGTTTAAAGAAAAAGAAATCAGAGATATGGGGATATTATTGATAAGTGTTATGAACCTACAGTACCGGTTAATTATGTGTTTCTAATGTATTGTGGGTGATCATAATCCAGAAACTGGGACTTCCGCTCTTAGGATCTCACGTGCCGTCAAGAGTGGTGTTGAATCCTGCCGGCCATGGAAATGAGGGATCTACTTCAAACTGGCTACTGTGTGTGAAAGTGTATGACACATGTTATTTCATCTTATCATGGAAAATCCCACATACATAGTCCAAACAAGCTCGGTACCATGATGCCGTGCATGACACATGTTATTTCATTTTATCATGTAAATCCCACATAAATGGCCCAAAAAAGATTGGTACCATGATGCTGTAAATCACACATGTGACAATATTTCACTAGTGAAAAATGCCTGCAAACGTTTGCAACAGAGCTCGATGCCGTCATGTGCTTGATGTCAAAGACAGAAAAGTTTGATTTCATGACCATAAAACGTCATTGAGCGGCACTCGTCAAAACAACATTATCGATGTATGGTCACAACCTTGGTGTAGTGCGCATGGTCTGAAGGCAGTTGTATTGCTGTAGTGAACGACACAATCAGTTGAATGCCAACACAGTAGTTACAGTACTTTGCTCGAGAAATTATGTCTACACTTCTGTAAAAGCGTCTGTGGGTAAAAGTGTCTGTGTGTAAAAGCTTCTGTGTGTAAAAGCTTCTGTGTGTAAAAGCGTCTGTGTGTATAAACCTCTGTGTAAAAGCTTCTGTGTGTATAAACCTCTGTGTGTGAAAGTGTGTGCGTGTGAAAGCATCTGCGTGTAAAAGTGTCTGTGTGTAAAAGTGTCTGTGTGTAAAAGCCTCTGTGTGTGAAAGTGTGTGTGTGTGAGAAAAGTGTGTGTGTGTAAAAGCCACTGTGTGTAAAAGCGTCTGTGTGTAGAACTGTCTGCGTGTAAAAGTGTCTGTGTGTAAAAGCTTCTGTGTGTAAAAGCTTCTGTGTGCAAAAGCGTCTGTGTGTATAAACCTCTGTGTAAAAGCTTCTGTGTGTAAAAACCTCTGTGTGTGAAAGTGTGTGTGTGTGTGAAAGCATCTGCGTGTAAAAGTGTCTGTGTGTAAAAGTGTCTGTGTGTAAAAGCCTCTGTGTGTGAAAGTGTGTGTGTGTGAGAAAAGTGTGTGTGTGTGTGTGCGTGTGTGTAAAAGCCACTGTGTGTAAAAGCGTCTGTGTGTAGAACTGTCTGCGTGCAAAAGTTTCTGTGTGTAAAAGCGTCTGTGTGTGAAAGTGTGTGTGTGTGTGTGAAAGCATCTGCGTGTAAAAGTGTCTGTGTGTAAAAGTGTCTGTGTGTAAAAGCCTCTGTGTGTGAAAGTGTGTGTGTGCGTGTAAAAGTGTGTGTGTGTAAAAGTGTCTCTGTGTAAAAGTGTCTGTGTGTAAAAGTGTCTGTGTGTAAAAGCCTCTGTGTGTGAAAAGTGTGTGTGTGTGTGTAAAAGCGTCTGTGTCTAAAAGCCTCTGTGTGTAAAAGCGTCTGTGTGTAAAAACGTCTGTGTGTAGAACTGTCTGCGTGTAAAAGTGTCTGCGTGTAAACGCGTCTGTGTGTAAAAGTCTCTGTGAGTAAACGCGTCTGTGTGTAAATTGTCTTGATACCACTTGTCTCGTCTGCCTATAATACATTTAATATATTGGTTTGTAATTAATATTAAAGAATACATATATATATATATAATACATCTTTAATATATGTGTCTCAATACTCACAACAGAAGACCCTGCTCCTCTACGCTCTCGGGCCATCCCAAATTTTGGTGATAAAAACCACCAGCCAAGATCGGAGAAATACGTCGCGCCTGCCAGGGTCCCATGGGTCATGTCCTTCGATCCTTCCTGCGAGAGGTGCTCGGTTTTTGTTGGGATATTAGTGAAAATAGCTGGGAAATTATGGATAACCAATTATGTAATTTGTTTGTTTTTCATTCAGACATTGCTAATGGATCTTAATAAAAACAACATAAGTTTTTTTAACCAATTGTATAACTGGGAAATTGGATATCACCCCCCATTTTAAACATGGAACCCGACAATGGGATTGGACGATCATTGTCCTATTGAATACGGCCATGTTTGGGTTTCAATTATAGTTATAAAATAGCAACATGTTATGACCAACCTTGCAACAAACAGCCTGTGTATTTTTTCCAAATAGACATTTTGGTAAACAAATGCCATGTTGACTCCACAGGGAAAGCAACCATGGGCACACATGGCAGTTCAGATCATCCCACCTTGCCAAGTGGTTTTCATGTGGGCAAAACAATGCCATAAACCAGCCATGACTGGGAATGGTAAGTAAGTTTATACCACCTATAAGAATGGCGATGACTTGGGGATGGTGCAAATGGCATTGTGAATTACATCATGTTTATCCCTGGGATCTAATCTGAAACATTGGGATTTGTCAAATTTTCAAGGATGTATTGGTATCTACCCACATTAACCCTGGAAATGGCATTGTGAATTACCTGCATTAACCCTGGTCTACCCTGATGCACTCGTCCTCCATTCGTGGGTCTCCCATGGCACTTTCCCAGGTGATCCATGTGGAGAATGCCACGCGCTTGGATCAGGTGGGCCCCGAAAGCGAGAAGTCAGGCACCATATGATTGGTACAATGTGAGGCCCCCGTTCGATAGCTAAATTGGTTTATAACTCCAATAACTATGGTAAAAATGGTACGCAAAGAATCAAAAAACTATAGTTACTGGGGCGAATCTAAACCTAACCAACTTATAACTGGGGGGCCTCAAATTTTATGATTCCACTTCTTGGATATGTGATATATGGGATTTATTGGGATTCTAAAATATCATCCATCTATTGGGACATTCGGATTTTTTTTGGGGATTACTATTGGGATTCTATAGTTTCTCCTTAGAGAAAAAGGGTCAATTCCTAGGGATAAATCAATGGGATGATCCGTCGAATCATCCGATTTGAAAGGCATCGATATCGTGATCGACATTTTCAGACTTCTTCTGTGATTCCCCTTACTAGTCATCATTTGTGGATCATCGTGGATACCCTCTGGTAATTTAACATAGCTATTGAAAATTGCCATTTATAATGAGTTTTCCCATTTAAAATTGTGATTTTCCATAGCTATGTTGGTTTACCAGAGGGTACCAATGAGAGATGCAGTGAGACAAATCGTGGATTCATCCGCAAATTTTGGCCGCTGGGATTTTTGGGAAACTGATCATCAACCATAAGATGGACTGGATTGGAATGAGGTACACAATTTTTGAGACAAATCTACCCTCTGGTAATTTAACATAACTATGGAAAATCACCATTTTTGATGGGTAAATCCACTATTTCTATGGCCATTTTCAATAGCTTTTTGTATGTTTACCAGAGGGTACATTTGCATTGGTGAATCATCGTTGGCATGTTTGGTTTAGGAAGTATGATTTCCCATGGATTTCCCAGGAGCAGAGTGTTTGGCGTTTGGGGGGGGCAGGTCGGAACAAAAAACATCAAAAAACCATGGAACGTGAGGCAAAGGTGTGATGGGATACACTTCAACATGGAGACGTGTTGTAACTGCAAGAAACTACTGGTACAGTAGTCCACCCATACACTAAGTATACTAGAACCTAATAAGATGTAATGCGATACCGCATTAGCCTGGTAAACTGAAAGTTGCTTTTGGATTTACCGTTTCCCCGTAGTTGCTGGCTATACGGATCTTGTGACGTCAGATTCAACCCCATTAAATGAGGTGATAGTTTTGACATAAATTATATAAACCAATGTGTTGATATCCCCACTTGGTGTCATTTACATATTGACATTCTGGACACGGCTTAAACTTGCAGTACCGACGGAGCTACAGAAAATTGGTTGTTGTTACTGCAAATCCAAGTTGAACCACACCAAAGCGCCTCGTGAATTCGTATATTATTTGTGCTGTCTCAATATCCTTTTGTATTATAATTGAAAATCAGTTATAGCCAACCCCAAAACGTTATACATGTGCAATCGCACAAAGATAGTTGTAAATTACTGTTCTATCTTTTTGAGGTTTTTTTATTCTTGATTGCAATGGAATTCCATCTACTTTCGAAATTCCCTTCATCCAGTTGTTCGAGTTTGTTTCCGCCCATTGAAATCACACTTCCTCCCCGGAAATTTTTGGATGCCAATTTCCCCTGCTTAAACTCCGAAATTCCTGAAATCCCCAAATTTCCCCGGTTTTTTTTTAATGTTTTTTTGGAGTGTGTTGATGGTATTTTGATGGTTAGATCCCCATAGATCCCCGATGTTTGGGCCTAAAACATCCCCAGCGAGCGCTCGAGCTCGCGCTCCTAACCGGCGCCAGGTGCTGGGTTTCTTGCAGCAAGACCTGGGCCTTCGAAGCTGGCTGCGGCAACGATCCTGGGAGGTGTGGACCTATAGGGTATATGGAATATCTGGGGAAAAAATGGTAAAACAGGGAAACTAGGACAGGACAGGTTGTAGGTCAGTTGGGCGGGTGTTATGTTTTTGTTCAATCTTGTAATCTGAAATGTTTGACTGTTTCTTTTTGATTATCTTGCTAAATGTGTTGTTGAGGTTGTTGTGATAATGTTTGGACTGAATGAAGGGGATAAGTGTTGAGGTGGTCAGAGTTTCTATGTGTAGGTTCAGGTTCAAATTCTACCAAACTGTTGTTCAAAGATGTCGAATTATCTGCTTCAAATTCATGTATTGATTGAGGTTAGGCGCTGTGGTTCCTGTTTGGTTTTGCATGTCAAGCATCCTTGAATACCAAAGCCAGTTTGGCACAAATTGACTGAACCGATGTATTGTCCCTTGTCTTCGACATTCCGCAGATGCATCTTTGTGAGGCAGGTTGAGCTTGCGCCAGGCCGGTTCGTCCTTCCAAGCGGTCATGCACGAACACAGCCTGCAAGGGCTTTTCTGGCGCAGACCGTTAAAACTGGTTGGACTTTGTTGAGCTGAGCACAGGGAGCATCGTAGTGCTGGTTCTCCAAGCTCTCATTCAAAGGTTCCTTCCTGGCTTCTTCATGAACAGGGCAGTGAGGAAGGCTGGGCAAATGCTGAAAAGGAAAGAGCCCGCCCCTGCACGGCCGCTCGAGGAGGAATACATCAAGGACTTCATCAATTCACCTCAACGTGAAGCTTTGAGCACCCCTTCCTTCTTGTTGGTCAGTGGTTCCCAAGGCATTGGGAAATCAACCATGCTGAACAATCTCATGTGTGAGCATGTGAAGAATGGCAAAAGGGTGCTCCCGCTCAAGATGTGAAGCCGTCCTGGTGAGGACTTGAAACTCAATGAAGCGCTGCCCAAAGCATTGCAAGCAGTAAATTTGCCGCGATACTACCCAGAACAAGTGGAGTATATGCTGGAAAAGGTGAACGAGACGTGCAAGTGCCGAACAGGCAGTGCCGTCGTGGTATACCTGCAACTCACAACCAAAAGCCGCGGAGACAAATTTAGTAGGGATGCCTGTGATGACATTGCTTCCACCCTCGGTGCCTTCGCTCGCAACGTCACCTACGACAATGCCGCGTGCAAGTTCATTTTGGAGGTCAGAGTGTCTGCAGTGGCAGACATCATCAAAGAAAGGTTTAACATGTCAGATTTGGTGGTGGTGCGACCACTACCTTTCGAAGACTTCACATCTGTGGTCCAGGAGGTGGCAAAGCAGGGAAACGACTTCCGGACGCGGAACAAGGTTCTTGCCGACGGTGAGATAGAGGAGGTGTTGAAGCACTACTACATCCGCACAGGGGGCAACTTCCGCGCCTTGGGCGAGATACTGCGAAACGTCTCCAGAGAAGGTCAGAAAGGTGCGGATGCGGTCATCAAGCAGGTTGAGCAGTGGTACAAGGAGAGGGTGGAACCAATTGAAAAAAAATTGGATGACCAGGACCAGGAAGTGAAAGACTATCTCCTCAAGGTGGCAGAGGCAGGACCCATGGGGTCCCTCCCAGAGAGCGACGAGGAGACCGAAATGAAGTTGAAGCTTCTTCGTGAGGAGCCAGCAGACTGCGTCCTGAGGAGAACAACCAATTTGAGAGTGGCTTTGAAGCACTGGCATTTCGTCGCCAAGCTCTTTCAAGAGGATGAGCAGAAGTTGAGGGATGCAGGATACATGTGAGCTTCGCCGGTGAAAAAAACTGTGACGCTTGAGATGTTTTGTGGGTGAGTCATGCAAGAGTAATTTTCACATATTGCCTGCATAACCGCAGATACCCAACCCTAGTATGAATGATACCCAGATACCAGTATCTAAGTATCAACGATACCCAGAGCCTAGTATCAATGCTGTTTTACAATTTAGGGTATATGGAATATCTGGGATATATAGGATACATGTATATGGGACATATATATATATATACCCGTGTATAATATATATATATATCATATATCATATATCATATATTTTAATGTAGTATAATGTAATAGAATATAATAGAATATAATAGAATATAATAGAATATAATAGAATATAATATAATATAATATAATAGAATAGAATATAATATAATGTTATAATATAAAATTATAATATAATATGATATAATATGATATAATATGATAATATATGATAATATATGATATGACATGATATAATACAGTATAGTATAATATAATATATATATATATAACTATTATATCCAGATTGATAGAATATGGAAACTATATACTGGGATATACGTTACATAGTTATCAATATGTCATATATATATATAGATTAATAATGGAATATATTAGGATGTATCAATTAAATAAGACAAATAGGACACATATATATATATTATACATATCATTGGATGAGTTATAATGACTTCATTGTGATGTCACAGGAATGGTTGTTATAAAGGGAATAATCCCTAAATGGCCTTATTTCAGCTATTTCCGGGTTAGGTAAATATTATAATCAAGCCAGACTCATTACAATGGGGTTATAAGTCATAATGGGAGATATGATGGGATATAGAACAAACAATAAATATAGAAGGGATACTTATTAATAGTCAAGACTTGTTAATAATGATGATCAACTACCATGTAATGGTAATTGATGGTGATTAATGATGATTAATGGAACTACCTTCGGGTAATCAAGCATGGCAATAGGTTATCATCATTTTCCCGAATTTGGTTATCATGTTCTAAAGATGATTGAGGAAACCCCAAACAAAATCAAATAAAATTGATTATCATTGTCTAAAGATGGAGGATATATATATACCCCTAAATTTGGTGGCTGAGAAAGTCAGCTTCCCTATAATTTGATGGATTTTTTTGGGTATCTTAAATTTCAAACAAACCCAAATAATTGCATGAGGATATATAACCAACCATGATGCGGATATAATGGAGATATGCTGGTATACATAGCGGTAACTAATAAGATGATGGTGTGTTTTGTTGAAAGACAGGGGATTTGCCCAGTGTCTGATTTCATCAAAAATGGGCCTGTAGCTGGCAAATTGTCGCAAAATTATTGTAACAAGTCGTGGTCATTGCAAAGCATCCATTTTGAAAGTCCAATAATTTTCACGAAAATTGCATGAACCATCAAACTTTGCGGGTACCCTGTTTTGAAACCAACTCCCAAGCTATCGCTTGGGTTAAAAATTTTGTTGATCATAAATGGATGCAGAATTAATGAAACAGGGAAGATGGGGTTTATTCGGAAACTCAGAGGATGTTGGGAATTCGCGACCCATGATTTTGCGGTTTTTTACCAGAAACATTGGGGGGATCAAAGCACTACGAAATCGAGATATAAATTGAATTTCGCCGCCATGACCGAATGGAATTTGACTACGCTTGACTACGCACACGCCATTTCATCCGGGAACCTTTTGATGAGGTGTTCCATCTCAGAAATTTTAAAATTGGGGATGGGTCAAAACCCTGGTACCTAGTGAACCCCAAAATAGCTGGTAAATGGATGTTCATCCCATTAAAAATTGTATTAATAGGTATTGATCCATACCCAATTCACCCAGAAACTGCCGAAACAAATGGTTTCCGGCCGCATCTCCATCGTGCCAGGCCCACGTCCCATGGATTCAGGACATGTTTCTGTCGCTTTGGATGCAAAGCTGGGAAACCCAAAAAGGCTGGAGGCGGATGACCCAATGACCCGTTTTTTCACTGTTCATTCACAAACTTAAGACATCTTAAGACATTATAGATGGATATAGACACTGGGACCACAATGCACCTTTCATCATTTTCTTTCTGCAACCATTTCCCAAAAAGTTGGACCCACTAGAAACTTTTGACCCACTGGAAACCATTTCTCAAAAAAAATTGTAGCCCAATTTTGAGGAAACTTTTGACCCACTGCACGTTGCTCCACTCTCCAGATGCGTCGGTGAACCTCACAAGCGTTGAGGCCAGTAGCGCCGGGATGACCCTCCGACATTTGGAATTCAAATTGGGTATGGCTTAAAGCTGGGTCCAACAATTAGATGATGAATACGCTATAAACATATAATATATATATATATACATACATATACATATTATCTATAAACATCTATAAACATGTAATATATTCATATTTGTAAAACTAAAATGGTTTCCTGTGTTTCAGTGTGTTTTCCGGGGCGGTCTTTTACAGGATTCTCCCTCATTTGAGAAACGGGCAGAAAATCTGCAGATCCGATCCATAGAGAAATTTGGCCTCTGGCAATTTGTCACGTAACCATGGAAAACTATCCATTTGTAGATGATTAACCTATATATATAATATATATATAGGTTAATCATCTACAAATGGATAATATATTTATTTATATTTGAATCCAACCATATAGATATGGCCATTTCAACCATGGCTATATGTTCAACAACGAGTGTCCACAGTGTGTGTGCACTTTCAGGTTCAACTCATTTGCCTGGGATGAAGTCTGCTCTGGGATGCAGGAACTCACTTAAAGTTGCTAACTGGTTGAGTATATTATCAATTATTATCATAAACAACATCTAAAAACATATAAAAATTAAAAGTTAGTGTCTAAATTGTCTAAATACATTTAAAGCGACTTGAGATGACTTGAGAATTATGATCCATAATCACGCGAAGCCATCAGGTCTTTGACGCTAGGCTTAGCTGATCTCATCATCCCGGAAAGTCATGGTATCCCCACCACGGGAACCTTGGGATGCTTACCAGACACACAGAATCAGATCCGGCTGGTTTTTTTTGGTCACATTGAAAGCAACTGTTCATAACAGGTACCCTCTGGTAAACATAACTATGGAAAATCACCATTTATAGTGAGTTTTCCCATTAAAAATGGTGATTTTTCCATGGTTTTTTGTATGTTTACGCAACCCCGGAGGGGTTTCCAACCACCGAAGCTCCTGGATTTCCTTTCGGGTCAGCTTCCACAGCTTGGACCGTGGCCGCAGGAGTTGCATTTCCAATTTTCCGGGCCTGCGGCCGCGCGGCTTTCAGGTGCCGCATCCACTAGATTTATAGGGGATTTCAAAGCAAGATTTATAGGGGATTCCAAGAATCAAAATTGGGAGACCAAGAAATTATGGTAAGTTGATGTAAGTTGAACATTTGCTTGGGGGTTACACTACCCTACGGATTTTCCACGATTTTCCAGGAGGTTTGTGACACTGCTCAACTCTAGTGTCACGATCAGTGCTCTATGGATTTTACGGACACAAGTCAAGAGACATAACCCACGGTCGCGTCGGTCAATTGATGGTTATTTCATGTTACCCTCCGGCAAACTAACATAACCATGGAAAATCACCATTTTTTATGGGTAAATCCACTATAAATGGCCATTTTCAATAGCAAACTGTTAGTTTACCAGAGGGTATTTCTTGGGTGTTACTGATTGAATGGGGATTCTCATGATTCACATTCATATGGGGAACACCGAGGGGAACCCCTATCAACCAATCAAGAAAATCAACCACTATCCTCTATCCAGCCATCCCAGTTTAGCAGTCTGTAGAACCTATATTTAAGAAGCCCCTCATTCGTGGAGGTACAGTATTCCATCGAAACTTGTAGTTTCAATAACCATTTATTACTTGAGCAGTGTTCAAAACCCTGGTGATTGTGTGGGCTTATATATATATATAGTCTATCCAAGTTATTGAGGATTTTCACACTCCATAAATTTCCCATTCATTAACCCACCAGTATAAGGGAACGGAGTTGCGGCTTTAGCAGCCACTGCTCACTTGGAATGGTCATCCAATGTTTGATAACAACAAACACGTGTACATAGCCATGGCAGGATATGGGGGTACCTATTTTTCTGGTGATCTTTGGGTGATCTTTGGCAACCCTGGCCATTGGCGGTCAACCTTTGGCTCAAAGATTCAGAGAGAAAAAGAGCAACGGACAACCGCGTGACACATAGTGAAAAGGCGGCCAGTGCGTAAAGCAACTGGTGATTTGCATCATGTCCGGGTGCCAAGGCGAGCAATGCAGTGCTGAAGAAATCCTCTGGTTTTTGATGGTGATTTTTGTTGGAACATGTTGGAACTATTGGTTATTTGATGGTTATTTGATGGTTATTTGATGGTTATTTGATGGTTATTTGATGGCTAACAGCTTTGATGGGACAACATTGTTGTATGGGTTTCACTGGACCTGTTGTGCAACCAGTAGCTTTGGCAGAGGGTGAACTGGGCAGCACAGACACCCAAAGTCATACCTATCATTGAAAGATATTGGCTAGAGAACCCAACATTCAACCACAAAAACACATGGTTATGCTTTTAGCAGTACAACGCTAGGATGTGATATTGGCTATGTGTGCCAAAGATGTGATGCAGTGATGGTGTCGAACTGAACTGCAGCCCGTTAAAAACGGCCACATCCTCGACCGAAAATTGTTAGATATTTCGTGGGATGGGCTCCACCAAGGTTCAAAAACACCTACCAGTCCGGATTCCTCTCGATCCTGTACTCCATCGGCAGCAAACCACTTCAGATCTGGGACAAGAAGGCGCTGCTTGAATCCCAATTTCTCTTCATTCAGCAGTGAAATATCGAGACCTATGGAGACAACATGGCAGAACCGTGGCTATTTCTTTGGTGAACATCCAAATATGATAAATATGGCTAGTGTTCATGTGCATTTTGAATGTTTCGAAGGTCAGGTATTGACCATTATTGACCTGTCCCGCATAAGGATACCTCCATACAGACTACCTTCAAGCGAAAATGGATGCTTCAGTTTCATCCTTTGGTAATCCAACGTGGCAACGAGAAATTTCAATTTTTCTGGGAAGGTCTACATGGAAACACACGCAGAAAGATGATTTTTACATATTTTTACTGCTTGAATGTGCCCCTTGTTGGACCTGCCAAATTCAGGGAAAGTATCTTCATACGAAACCAAACAGCACACGACAGGTGCGCAATGGTCACATCAAGCGCCTCACGGATTCGGATATCCAATCCAGCGTTCTGGACGGGTCAAGTGGTCGCTGTGGATGCTTGAACGGTGACCTGAAGTCAGAATTGAAATGACCCCATTTTACGTGGGTTTCAATGGTGTTTCATAAGTGTCAAGTTTAAAGTGTGCTATTTTTTTTCCGTGGTGAAACGCATTTTAACAGCTAGAATTCTGCAAAACAATCCAAACATATCCAAACTGTACTTGTAGGTTTGCACAAAAAATCCCAACATCTTGCAAAACATCTCTCGGCCAGGAGATCATGGGGACCAATGTGAGCACGACCTACATCACTTGCCCAGCTGATTCGTCCAAGACCTTGGGCATCAAACTGCCCTTCCTGGCCCCTTGGCTTTCCATAGCCCTAGGGGATCCCCAATAGATGGTTTATCATGGAAAAAACCCATCTAAAATGGATGATAACTGGGGGTAGCCCTATTTTAGGAAACCACCATTTGCTATAATGACGCAAGAATATGTGGGTCCATGGGTTGTTAGATAATTTACCCATGCTGCCCATTTGGCTGGTCATGTCACAGATTTGGAGCCGAAAAAAACCCGCGGAATCTTGGCCCATCAAGACTTCTCATCGCAGTCATTACCCATGCACTGAGTGGTGTCAAATATGTTCTGTGAACGATAGAGATGATGATCCCCCACATATGATGCAATTATGTTTCCAGTGGGCTTGAAACCATCAGTATACTTTGGTGGTTGGGTCCTGGGTTGTTCCATGTTGTTCCACCCCCACGGAGGTGATGATCATCAAGAACTTGAAGAAGTATTTCACCTTTGAGGTGAGGCTAAAAAATGATGTTGCGGTCATGGGGCGCCTTTCGCCCAAGATGTTTTTCAACATGATGTTGGTGGGTCATGGCAATGTTCCCCATGTTGGCTGGGGCCGTGATGGACAGGATACGGACACAAAAGGGACTAAATCAACAAAAAAAGGGGAAACTCTCCATGAATCATGGCCCAAGATGGCCCCAGCAGGGGTTTCAATAGTCAGCTCTTTTGGTGTGAAGCCAGTGGCTTTTGATCCACAGCCATTTTTATAACTTCCTGAATCTTCCAGACATAAATGGTGAATCATTCATTTCCTTTGGTGAAATGATCAATCAATATCCTTTCCAGTACATTTAGATTTCCTGGATATCTTGGATATCTTGGGTTCAACATATATCCTGGAGATGGCTGGAGTTGATACTAGTACATACTGAACGAACATTAACCATTATATTAAAACACAATGTGCTTGTGTGTGTATGTACAACATGTTTATATTCTGTCTACTTCAGGATGATGCCATTATATGCCACTATACATATACACATAGATATATATATATATGAATGTATAATACACACACATACCAACAATCACATTCTCCCAATGTTCCAGAACCCCCAGGCGACCCAAGAGAGGGTTCCACTCATGATGGTTCAGCCACCAAGAGTGGCAACGCTACATTATACATAGATTCCCTTGGACACCAACATAAATGCTTCCCCCCCGGGATCCACCAACATTGATGTGCAAAGTTACCCACCATTTAATGTAGATGATGTTCCGAATGGGAGACAAAAACACGGTTTTTCCACATGTTCTTTTGAAAACATATATTATTATTATTATTATTATCATGATTATTATTATTGTTATTATTATTATCATCATCATTATTATTATATATATATATATATATATTGATTGTCCCCAAGCTAAATACCAATACATCCTCGAGAATTGAGCAAAATATCCCAATGTTTTAAAATAGATCCCAAGGATAAACATGATAATGTGGGTAAAACAATAGTAGTATTATCCCCCAGTCATCACCATAAATAGTTGGTATTTATACCATTCCTAGTCATGGGTGGTTTATGACATTGTTTTACCCACATTAAATCCCATAAGATGGAGCATTCGGTAAATCCTAAGGATAAATCCCATATAAATCCCATAAGATAAGGATAAATCCCATATCAATCCTTATAAATCCCATAGGATGTGATCATTGGGATTATAAATCCTTATAAATCCCATATCAATCCATATGGCAGTGTGTCAAAATCTTGTACCCCTGGTGGACATCAAAATAGCTGGTAAATGGATGTTCATTCCCCTAAAAATGGTATTAATAGGTATTGATCCATACCGATAGAAATCCATATCAATCCTTATAAATCCCATATTGGGTCAATTTTTTTCCGGAACATCTCCTTACAACGTCGATCCACGAGGTCACCGTCCTGGACGACAAGGAAGTGCGTCGACGCTTTCGGGCTTCCAACTATCAGAGCACCACCAGGCGCGGCTGCCACCGCCATGCCCGGCCTGGTCAACTAACAGTTTGCTATTGAAAATGGCCATTGATAGTGGATTGACCCATTGAAAATGGTGATTTTCCATAGTTTTTACCCACATAGCTATTGAAAATGGCCATAGAAATAGTTGATTTACCCAGCTATAAAATGATTAAAATGGTAATTTTCCAGTTCGCTATGTTAGTTCACCAGAGGGTATAACTTATAACTAGTTAAGAATGCTTAAGGATGGTGAATAAATGGATAGTAACTTGATAGTAATGGTGAATGGTTGTTCATGATGGTTAGTACATGGATAGTATGATGGTATAGTAATGAATATAATGCTTGGTTCTAGTTAATAGTGGTGATTAATGCTTGATGATTATATATTATTATATTTAAGTAATAATTATAGGGGGATTGCGGGATTACATGCAGTAATGGAATCACCAGAAAGATACTCCTGGGTTGATGTGGCTGGGAAATCCCATTGCGCGCAATGCAGCTAATCTTCTCGAACTATTTATTAGTGGAATCTGGAATCATCATTAATCACCATCATTACGCATATAATTAAACCAGACTAGTGATGATCATATAGCTGGTATATAATCTGGAATCAGAAAAAAAAACACCATTGTTATATACCATTATTACAGATTTCTAATATTATCAACCATCACAGCATCACCTATCGCATTCACGTTTCATGACACCGATGGGATGGTCCGAAATCATAGCAATCTGCTCCGAAATATGGGGATTGCTAGTGGTGATCAATGGTGAGAAACATGTTGATTAAGGGTGATTGCTGTAATGTTGATGAATGGCAATTAATTTCGATATCTGTATGTTTTTTTTCACTGTGTTTTTTTGCTATTTCCGAGTGCTATATCATTGATTGGCCAACAAAAACACCCAGTGCTTATTGAATCCACCATCAATGATGGAATATGAATGAGATATATAATTATTCATCTATGAGATATATAATACATATGTGGATATGGGAATATGTAATTCGCAAAACAATGATATACCATACACATGGGAATGGGGCCCCTAAGGTATGTCATAACATGTTTGATTTGTGCTCACCCATTCAACTGCAGATAGTAGATATACTGTACACAAAAATACATATCCATGAAATTTCATGAAATGAATCCTACTATAGTTAAAAACCAACAAAAGTGTATCTATGGGGTTCGTTCCTGCAGAAAAGGAGCAAAGTCAATGTACCCAAACTATAATGATTCATGCCACCAAAGCTGTAGGTTTTGGTCGCCCATGTCTTAACCATTTGCATTTGATCCAAGTTCGGCTTTCAACCAGTGAGAATTCGCTGGCGAAATATTGGAGTGCTATTTGTTCGAGAGTTGGAGTGAAGGCTGGGAGAATGGTTTGTGGTTTCATGTATCTTTGATTTTCACCCCAGAAAAGAATGAAACGCTAATCCCACCTGATGTTCATATTTTCAAGTGGCTCAACCACCAACCAGTGACTGGAGGCTAGTTATCCAGGGCCAACATTGCAAAGATTCCGCAGCGGATTCCAGTTGCCTCATCCAGCTTGGTTTCATTGTTGAGTTTATGATTGGAAACATCATATCTCATTAGTGGATTTAGGGGTCCCCCAAAACTCTTGGCCCATTCTTGGAGAGATCCAGCTACCCTTGCTGCAACTCATATTCTTGGTCGGTAAACATTCCCATTATTTGTTTGGGTTCGTTTGAACATGGAATACCCATGAATACCCTATAATCCCATGGTTTTTTTAATGGTTTTTCCATAGTTTTTGCATAGTTTTAGCTGCCATGTTCTGGTCTCATGGTATCCCCATACACCCATGGGTCGCCAGGGTGAAGCCCTTCATTTGCACCATGCCGATGCGATTAGATGAAGGCGCGGCTCCCACAAAGTCAGGGTCCCTTCCGGGGCACCTTCCAAGGGTTCTGAAACCGCGCAATGTATGAGGATGAATTATTAGATTTTTGCAATTTTTGGCACATGTTCCCGGTTTTGAACACTAAGACATGGGGTCATACTTCAAGAGCTGGGAACCCGGAAGAAATGGTAAAAGTGCATGCTGTTGTTTTGGGCAGCATTTTGACCCATATCCGCAGAAAAGATGATAAATGCATATATAAATGCAGATTGCAGCCCCATTCTCCATATACCATCATATACATTCATATATCACATTATAGACATATAAACAACAACGCTGGAAGATGAGCCAAGTTTCTGGCCGACCAGAGAACTTGGCTCTGGTGAAAGTGTGGGAGCTGTTTGAAAAACACGAAGCACCTAGCGGTAGCATTTTTGGGGGACAGAATAAGAATTATGATAGGTAAAATCATGTAAAATCTACATGATAGATAGGTAAAATCATGGTAAACATCTAGTCTTGACCTCTACTGATAAAAACTGATTTTAGAGGCAAAATCTAGAGTTCCTCCCATGCACCCTTTGCCAGGCTGGAATCAGATCTCCGGCTGCAATTTGTCAACAGGTGTTTTGGGGGTTGGCACATCCTTAGCTTGAAGGACACTTGAAGGACATCTAGATGTACGGATGGCAGATTGTGTGAAAAGAATTTGCAGTTCCGTTGTTTTCTCCAGTCGCAGAACCCCCAGAAACCAGTAGATCTTCCCGTAGAAGTCTCCGCGCATAGGGTCAGAGGTCCTAGCTACAGAGAGCTCGACATGATTAGGTGTGGTTCAAAATTCCAGGGCCTCACACACAAGACTGGCTGCGGACTTCAACTATTTCACATGCTCAACTCTAATTATTTGGTCCCAAGTGACCAATGTTTCTTAGGAGGGTTGAAAGTGTGTTTTTCCATGTTCAGCATCGCCCTCATTATTTTGGCTTTTTTTGTTTAAACAGTGGTTTCCCCATTAAAGTTAACAAATAATAACTTGGATGAGAAGTGGAAGATGTTCGGAACCGCCCATCATATTCCTCCCATCATACTCCCAGAATATTCCCATATTTATACTGTGTATTCTTGGTAAAATTCCATGAAATTCCACCATTGACCCATCCTCAAAAGCCATGGGCTTACGGGCTTTCTGACCCAAACCATCCCGAGGATCCAGTTCAATCTCTCAGATTTCACCCGCCGTGCCTATGGAACCAACTACATCGAGACTCTTCGCGTTCAGCTTCATGCCAATTGCCGTAGCCTGGAGAACTTACTTGGCTTGCCCCGGTGGTTTGGAATGCGAATCCACAGCTATAAATATAGTTATATATAATATAGTTATATACAATGTAGTAATATATATATATACATATTGTATATATATATATATATTGTAATATAGGTAACATTTCACTCACTATCTCTACTTGGTGTTTTGGATTAAGGTGTCTTATGTTCCATGCTAGAAATGAGATTATAGTTATATTCTGAATCCCTATCAGTTTTCACACATTCAAACCACCAGTCAGGAGAGATACTCACAGACTAGGCATGTACTGTATATAAGTTAAGATTCAACATGTGCTTTATTCGTGAATGGGTGGTAGATGGCTATATGCCAATTGGATTTATCCAACAGAAATGGTTGACGCGTCACCAATGGAATGAGAACACCAAGTAACATCAACCCTGAGAATCACCAAATGAGCTACAGCCAAAATTTAGGTCAATGGAGAGTAGTATTCGAGACATCTTTATTTTTTGGAAACTGAGCTGGGGCTTGGACAACGATAATACACTCTTCAAAAAACGATAACATTTGCTTATATACCCAAACCTGAAAAACGATAATACAGTCTTCAAAAATTGATGACTTGGAGCTATATACCAAATATTGACCATGGCCCAAATGTTTAGAGGAAAGTAGTCTTCCAACCCCCGGGTCTGTGGCGGGGTCTATGGCTTAGTTGTTGGATGGTTTCGCTGATATTCCCATTGCTATTGATATTCAGCCAAACTGCCTGAGAATGATCAGAGTTCTGATGTAATACAGTATCACATTCACTTGGGGACAGCATGTACTGAGTGATATAGGTACTGGCTGCTTCCGTCGGCAAATCAATGATGTGCTGGTTGTTTATGGTTGGTTGTTTTGCGTGTTGGTCAATTCATGTCAATTCTATGAAGAGTCATGAAGAGTCGTTCATTTTTAACCCCATGTTTTTCATTGTTCCCCACAGCAGTGAATGTTGGGTTTCAATCTCTGGGTCTGGAGTGGTGCGCCGTTTTGTGTCAGCCTTGAAGACTGGAACGGAACCCTGGAACCTGCTGTTGGGTTGCAAAGCTGGTTAATTCTGTGGTCATTCAGCCATATGTCCGATCCAGGAGTGTCATGTCCACTCGTCGCCCTATTTTACATGATGGGTAAAACATATATATATATATACATGTATTCACAATATAATATATATATATAACATATATATATGTCAACTTATACCATGATGCTGATGCGATCTAAGCCAGGCTAAAGCCGCTCATTACCATATATATATATATATATGTATATTATATCTTGGATTCCCAAAGAAAACCGGCTTCCAGTTAAAACATGGAGTGAAGCATACCCCCAATGCAATGGGTTGAAGATGGTTGTAGTCCGGCCCCCACTTTCTCATGAGCACTCCTCAGAAAACGCTGGTAAAATTGTTCATTTTGAGGTCCCACCTAGGGGGTGATTACAGGGATGGGATCCCACATATTTCTATGGATCGGAAAGTAGAAGGAACTAGTGTAGTTCTAACACCGGAGTAGCCAGTGTTTATGGAGGTTCATTCAATACGAAATAATGGGGGTGTCTAAACATTGAGCACACCCGTTACATCCAGTATGCCCATGAAACAACAATTTTACTGGCAAAGATGCTGAGTGGATATAATATAACATGTATAACAATATTTTTGTTCCCCAACATGTTCAGACAAACGTGTATCATGTTGTTAATTAGATATTCGATATCCTATTATATATCCATTGTATCATCATTATAATATATCATATTATATATATATTCGATGGGATTGAGCCAGCCCGGGCCAACCCCCAAAGGTGACCAGCCTATTCGAAGGTTTATTGATGGCCTTGTGAAGCACACGATGGCCTCAGGGAGGCTTAACTCTTGGTGTAGTTGGCTTCCCATTTTATTTTATACCCATGATTGGAAAAAAAAACATGTCCCACCAATATCCGGAACCAACTTGTGGATATATTGATCGGATAATATGTTATCGGCAGCAGACCCAAAATGGATTCACCGGAATCCTTGCCACGACCTCCAGGTCAAACCTGCATTAACCCGCATTAACCCGCATTAACCATTATCAATTATCAACCATTTCTATCCACGTATGTTATCCAAATATATCCATTATCATAGTAACCATAATTATGGCTATTACTAACCATTTAACCATCTAGTTCGAGGATGTCTCATCACCGGGAGGTATCCGCCGCATCTACTTCAGCGATCGCCTCTATAGTGAGGAAGAGTTGCCTCCCGAGTTCAAGCTGTTCCTTCCAGTGCCTTGTTGAAGAAACAACGTTTAAAACTGGCTAGAAGTAATGGGATACAGTAGTGGTGAATAGTCGATTGATAATATGGTAATGGGGCAATACTGATGATTCATGATGATTACCGTCAAACAAGGGGAGTTCTAACGGTTTTTTATGAGATTCTTTGGCCAATCAAAAATGGGTGATTTGAGCAGAACGAGACCTTGATCTTTGGTGTAAACATGAACGATTGAGCGTGCTAACCTGAAAAACACACTTCTGGGATTGAAACGTCAAAATGAGGTGGTTTATTCGTCAGCGAGAGCAACTTTGAATTTGCGCGTCAAATGAGGATTCAACGAAAGTGGGGGTGTATTCAAACTGGGATTTGACAAAAAATGGGTAGAACCTCCCTAGAAAAGGCGTCCGAAATACTGTATTTTGAAAAACCAGTCAATTCCCATCGTTGACCGTGAGAATTTCAAGCAATAGGTGAGTTTCCAAACGTTGGTAGTGTGTATTCCACCTCTGAAGCAATTGGGCCCACTGTTGTTGAACCACCATGGCTGCTATTTAACTCACTATCCATATTGGCTAAAACACGTTTTGCCTTGCTTAGAGTCACTTTTGTTGGATGTGTCACTCTTTGATAATCATCCTGTTTGTGGACAAAAATCATCATTTTTGTTGATAACACATGTATATATATATATTAGTATTGTGTCCTATCATAATAATAGTAATAATACTAATAATATATAATAATACTAATGATAATAATATATTTTGATATAATATATAATACTTAGAATTAAACTGACATTTTTGATGGTTAAATCATCATCTTCTGTTCAACCACCATTTTCGTTCTGACTTCAGGTCGCACAGAAGGCGCAGGCGCAAGCGCAGGCGGCACCCGCCCAGTGAGAGGCGCCCTTCAAGCAATCAGTGCGGTGATGGCGGGGGGGTTGGGGGGAAAAAATTAGGGAGTTACCAATAGTTTCTATAATTATATGTAATTATATATATAGTGATTTTGAAATATTTTGAATAGTTATTTACTGCTGCTATTATTCGTGGTATAACTAATACTAATAACTAATAATTATAGTGATTTTGAATCTATTAGTTACAATAGTGACCCTATTGTCGTTACTCACTATATAGTAGTTTGATTCTCCCAATAATAGTGATCAAACCCTATCATATCACTATAATCATACTACTTTTATTATAAATCCATGTCTTGGGTTTTTATCACTATACTGGTTGGTTGATAGGGATTCTCCTATATATATAACGGATTGTGACATTCCACATGATATATTATATGTATATATTGGTTACGTAGTAAATAATCCCGATGATCATCAACCAGTAGGTGTTTTGAAACTCAATTGATGCTTGATAACTGATATATATATACATACATATACAAATATATATATATGTACATATACATATACAAATATATATATATAGACTAGATATCGCAATCCAATGGCCTAAAACAAGCTAAAGCCAGCGATCCACTGAATGGAGGGCTTCGGAGATACCTCGAAAGTTGGAATTGAGCAGATTCAAAAAACACTGGTCTAGGCTTTATTGGTCTTGTCAAACTTCATTCTTGCGCCCTCTCAATATATATATAGATATATTATATATATATATATAGATATATATATATATAGATATATAGATATATATATAGATATATAGATATAGATATACATGATTATTTACGATTTGTACACAGCATTCTCTCATGAAAGATCTGCACAGATGTTGTGCCCATCCTCCCCATAGAACATGCCATGTGAGCCCGAGATCCCCATTGGTTGGTTATAGGGTTTACACTTGGATGTTTCCTATAATGGCGGTACCCCAAAACCATGCGTTTCAATATACGAAAATGGTCTAATTTGGACGATTTGGGGGTACCCAATTCCTGGCTTTTCATATGGACTTTGGATGACTCTTCGACTAATCCCTAGGCTGAAAACTGCTACAAATCGAACGGTGGGTTTGGGGATGACATGGGATGGCAGAAGCTCAAACAATGATGTGTCTTCAACACGGAGGGGTTTGTTTAGTATGGTGAATTTTATGTGGTCAATTCCTAGATGATTAAAAACCTCATGGGTAATCCCATCCTCTTAGTATTAAATACCTCCTCAATGGTCCCAAATAAGTGTAAAAAGTCTCTATTAAACCATGGTTTCCTGTTTGAAATACCCTCTGGTAAACTAACATAACTATGGAAAATCACCATTTTCAATGGGAAAATCCACTATAAATCACCATTTTCAATAGCTATGTTAAATTACCAGAGGGTATTAGGTACATGTGATTGACCATGGTTGCCAGCAACGGTTGCCATCCCCTAAAATATTGCTGGGAAACTCTCCAGGCATCCGATCAAGAGCGAGTGGCAAACTCCGCTGTGTCACCCCGGCAGGGATCTTCTCCATGGCATTTTGGAATAGCATAGAAATACATGCGAAGCAGGAACATATCGCAGAAAAAACCTAGAAATTTTCATTAGATGATTGCAGCTGAGTCGAAATCTGCATGTGGAGAAGTAGCAAGGCTTGATTTGCAGTGCCATGGGATTTAATCTATGTTGAAGATTGTTGAAGTGTGACAACTCAAGCACCGGCCTATTGTGCTTTTGAAACAAAATACGTTGGTGTCCTGCAGACTGATGGTTTGCAACGGATGTTCCCTGGCAAATGCGGCACCTGTATTTGTCAACGCCAATTCGCGCCACCGGTTCATCACGGGGGCACGTCCCTCGGTTTGCTGAAGAAACAGTGAACTGATTGAGCATGCAAACATTGAACTGTGCAAGAGTCAGAGCTTCAGGGCTTACGGCTGATCTAAAAGGCAGAGCATTTTTGTTCCGGGGCTGAACGCTATCGATGGGATTGACACATGACACAATCTTTGGAGATACATTGCAGTGTGTGTTTTTGTATGTGTTTGATTGTTTTTGTCACAATGTGTTGCCGGTTTTTCGTGATGTTTCTTTTGTGGCGTCATGCTCCGTCATGTAGTTGTTCTTTTTGCCTGACATGAAATGACATGACATGACATGAAATGACATGAATTGACATGAATTGACATGAAACAACCCTAATTGCACCAAGCCAACGAATAACATGATACAAATTACAACCAAACGACAAATGACAAAAAAACATGTCAAAAAGTCAAACAAGTCACAGGCACAAGAAAAAGCTGACAACCATATCGCCATGTGTGTCATGGTCAAAAGTTGGATATTGGGGGATGGTCATCAACCCATTGGGTTAATATGGTGGGATGATCATACCATGTTCTGTTTTGAAAGTTGATACATGTGACAAATGAGGATAAACCAGGACGGCGCCTGGACGGCATTATTATCATTATTCCACGCTACCAACAGCACCAGGTGTAATGTTGACTGATCAATAAAGTCCTGGTAGTCCTGCCTTTGGAGTGTACCATTTTGGGATATTCATGGCCTGAAGCCCCCCACCTATGCGGCCGTTTTACCACCAACCATTAGTCGGAAAGGGTGGTTGAATCCCCATATACCCTCTGGTAAACTCACATAACTATGGAAAATCACCATTTTTAATGGGAAAATCCACTATAAATGGCCATTTTCAATAGCTACGTTAAATTACCAGAGGGTATCCCCATATGATGTTTTCATGTTGCCACAGGCGCCATCTCACCTACTTTAGAGCTTACTGCAACTCGGCCATGGATGCATCATGATGGAATAAACACTTCGAAGATCTTCGAAGATCTGTGGGAGATGGCGACAATAACTATTTTTGTCATATAACAGTGGTGATTGAAGAACTCGTCAAACAACCAGTTATTTTTATAGCATCACAATCTGAACACGTCAAGAATGACGGACTCGAAGCGGTAAAAATGGGGATGAGACAGCAAAGAAGAAGGACGGATGCCAGAAAAATTGGGATTGAGGGGGTGATAGAATATAACAACAGTAGCAAAAACATAGATCCAGCAATTCTTGGCTGCGGGTTTGTGTCAACATGAGTGGGTACACCAAAATGGTTATTTCAATGTGAACAACCATGATAAAGCATGGAATGGAAAGGTTTTGAACATCTTGACACAACCACAACCTCCGAATTGGATCAAACATCAAGGTGCGCGACGCTGGACAGTCACTACGTACAAACAATTTTCATTTTCCGAAACCATCTCATTATTCTGGTTGGTGGTGTTCAATAGTTGTTTTTTTCCAGTCATCGTTTCATGGGAGTTTCCAACTTATCGGGCTACCCCCCAAATCAATCCAAATCATCCAATAGATGGATTTTCCCTTGCAAAAACCATGGGTTTCCATGATATCTAGATGGGTTTCTAGCTATTGGGTACCCCATGTATGGACCCCCCAACCGTATCTTGAAACCGGGGAATCCCAGGCAACAACGGCTGTGCACTTGGACAAGGGCACGGCCAAAATCAAGCTCCGAGGTGCCGTGGAAAAATCAACCGTATCAAACAAACCCTATGGATCTATGGCCACTGTCTGAGAAGGTACTTACCCTCTGGTAAACTAACATAACTATGGAAAATCACCATTTTCAATGGGAAAATCAACTATAAATAGCCATTTTCAATAGCTATGTTAAATTACCAGAGGGTAACCCTCCAATTTTTATACCCCAAACACTTCCGAAAAGGTACGGTACGGCTGGATCATAGGGAAAATCAATATCAACATTTACCTTGGCCGTCAGTTTTTGCCAGTATAGATCGATAGATAGATAGAAAGATAGATAGATTTTGGAGCATTGGTATGATGACCATGAAACATTGGGGTACTGTATTATTATAATATTTTTAGATTAGAAATTGGGAATTTATATATGGTTAATATACCACCAAACAGTTGGGTTTTGTATAACAATGCAAAAGGGGGAATGTACAAATCTACCTTGACCCACAGTTTTTGCCTATAGAAATTGATGTTTTGTCCCAAAATGTTGGTAATTTTACTTATTCTTGAGACGATACAAAATGAGGGTCAATGCAGATGTAATTTCTCTGACATTCTGTCTCCTTTGGGGCGTGGTAGTGTTCAGAGTTTTTGGTATCAACAAATCTTGTTCAGTTCAGACCTTTTACCATTGAAAATTGGAGAAGTTTAATAACAATTTTCATTTTACCATTGTTTCTTACAACAGAAGCTATATAATGGTACTATTTCCATCTATTTCCAAGTTGGACAAGTTTCTGTTGTCCAATACCGCCAGAGTTCGAAAACATGGTCAAGCGGTCTTGCAGGCCCAGCCGGCCCAGGCCCAGCACATATGGCTATCATATGGGTAAATTGTTGTACTATATATGTATATACGTACGTATATGTATATATATAGTATATTATATCTATAGTATATTATATATAGAGTTATAGTATTATATATATATAGTATATATATATAGTATATAATATATATATAGAGAGAGAGTCCTGATATTTTGTAGACTGAACACGGTTTCTTTCGTGAGCGAAACGCCCATTGGTACTTGACCCATACCCTTCTTTGCTTTTCACCCCACACCGACAAATTGAGCGCTAAGAATGTTTGCCGACTGGTTCCAGTAAAAAAAGTGATCATGTCGCTACTTTGACTTGGAACACACTGGAATCGCATAGGTATCATAGGTTGATCTATACATCCGAGCGGTACTCTAAAAGTACTGCAATCACCTGGATATGAAGTCTCACATGAAGCGTCATCTAAGTCTGAATCCAGTTTGCATCAAGTACTGTTTACGCGAGTTCCTGCTTATGCGCAGTTTCAGACCCATCCAATAAACTGAATTCGCTAGAACAAAATATCACCAGCCTGGGAAACCAAAAACATCTCGCCAGAAGTAGATAGACTCCTTGAAAGTCTTTTGTATGTACCAGAGGTGAGCCGTGCCAATTTTGCCGAATGATGTCGACATTTATTGGTCAAGCTGCGCTTTTCGCAACACGAAAAATTAAGCCATGATCAAAGCACATACACCCTGCATCAGGCTACGAAATCGAGATCTCGCAAGACATGCCTCTCAGCCCAGTGGAACTTCAGTTGCAGGCCAACTTTGAGGCTCGCCCCTGGGAGACAATGAAACCTAGTATGCACCAATTCTGGTTCATAAAAATATAATAGTTCGTAAAGTGATAAATCCATTTTAGATATTTTGGTTTAGAATAACCATGGAATGCCAATAGTTTATTTAGTGGGATTATTCCTGACATGCTGCAGAAATCCCCGTTTCCTTGGGTTCCACAAACATCAATAGACATGGTGTCTTTCCTATGACATGCTTAAACTGAAGCATAGCAACCCGCAAAAAAAAAATAGAAAAGTCAGTTGGCAATATCTTTGAGTTGTTTTATGTTGTTTTTGTCTTTTCGCGGCTTATGATCCCAAAATGCTACTGCCATTCACCAAAGACGCTGAACTGATGTAGTTTGAAGATATCCTGCACCACTGGGTGGTGTATCTCATTCTTCGCATTTGTGGGCTCAAGGTATGTGCCTACAATGTAGGCCCTCCCAGTTGTAAGTTATTGCAAGTGCAAATTGTTTTGACAAGCCATTTAACTCTAGACTACTATGTCGGACATATGTATCATAAAACCCAGTTGGGTAAACCATAGTTAAACCATAGTAAACCATAGTTAAACCATAGTTATCATAAAACATCATGAAACCACAAAGCCAGTTGCCAACTTACCCATCTTGGGGGCCCCGGTACCCCACAGAAATTCCACAGGTCTCCACAGGTCTCCACGACGGTCACGCATGGCCGCAGGTCATAGCCGCAGGCACTGCTTTCGTGGCCTACAACGGCAGTGGCCTGCAGGGACTTCAGCCCCGGCCTGAAATGCTGAGACCATCGGATACCATCGGATACCATCGGATAGCCCTTATTGAAGTGCCATAAAATGGTGATTTTATATGGGGAACATGATGGTTTCTGTCCGTTTTTACGATCCATATCATGGGATTCAATTGGGAAAGAATAAGCATGATGATTTTTGTTGGTTTGTGTGAACGGAATGTCCAGGAAAGTGATCATGTGCGGATGGTTCAGAACCTGTGATACCATACTTGGGGGGATCAATGTGGATCAATATCCATCACAGAACAAGGGGTTCTTTTGATGTTCACTTGGGTATCAGGGCTCTGATCAGCAAAGTTCAGCGTGCAGGCAGAGCATCCTCAGCAGTCATGACATGTCTATGGAGAAACAAAACCTCAGCTCCATGGACACACAGATCTTGGGGTCAGTTTTTCTTGTTCAAACCAGAAAAAATCCGGAGGGCCAAGAATTGATTCAAGCCATGACGCGTGACTTTGGGGCAATAATTACCCTCTGGTAATTTAACATAGCTATAGAAAATCACCATTTTTAATGGGAAAATCCACTATGAATGACCATTTTCAATAGCTATGTTAGTTTACCAGAGGGTACAACCCATTTCAACCACATGGATGAAACATTGCAACTTGTCACATCCGCAATGTCACTGACACCCATTGCGATCACCGCGCTGCGCCATTCTGCTTTCTACTCACCTCTGCTGTAACTGCGGCTTTCGTCGGTTTTCCTTGGAGGATTGCCCCACAAAATCCGGATTTCCCCAATTATCAACGGGATAAACCAGGAATTGGGGTCGGGTAGCGTGATGGATCCAAGTTCGCTCCTCGGTGATCCTGGAGCTGAGAAATGGCGAGCCACAACCGCGTAGAACTGGGTGATAATCTTGTATAGAATATTATTATAATAGTTTATTATATATATATATTTAATATTATATATATATATATGTTATATATATATGTTATATATATATATAATTATGTTTGTATTATTACACCTATACCACATTTCCGAGTGTTATACACAAGATACTAACCACTTCGAAGCATGGAAGTGGAACTGCCAGGCTTTGTGATGATCCCATGGGACCCAGGGAACTTTTCCACCAGGATCAAGTGGAATGCCACGTTGTGAAGCGTTGTGAAGCCATATACCCTCTGGTTATTTAACATAGCCATGGAAAATGGCCCATTTATAGGTGGTTTACCATGGTTTACCTATTAAAAATGGTGATTTTCCATGGCTATGTTAAATAACCAGATGATAAATATCATTAAATCTCCCCACATTGTCGAGATTCCCTGATGAGATATGATATTTAATAGATATTTAATAGATATTCATGATCATTGTATTCCCATGAGGTGCCATAGCAGACTGCTTTACTTCGTGACGCCGAGGTACACCATCCGCAGTGGTTTGTTGGAAGCCGAAGGCTTGAAGCCCAGCTATGCCCCACAGACTCCACAGTCGCGCACGGCCGTGGAGCAGGCGCCGGGCGCCGGAGTTCACCATGCAACTGTGGTGTTTTCAGCATAAATGTGGAGTTTTGTTTGAGAAATGATGGCTGGTTGATGGTTGATGGGTTATTACTGGCTCTACCTGCTCTTGGGGAATATATATATATAGTATAACTTAAACTTAGGGAGAGCTATTTGTTAGTTATTTACCAACAGGCACACTGGGATGGGATAGGGGATGATAGGGGTAGGTTTGATGGCTCACGTTTGTCCACACATCGGGGATACAAAACCGGATTTGAGTGGATTTGAGACCCACATGACCTGTGGGAGGATGTGATCATCGAGGGATGTGGAGGGTAAAGATTGGACCATCCAACATACCACGAATCAAACATAGCCATAGGATCCATGTATATATGGTATATATGCTAACATTGGGGGTATATTGATGGGATCCATGTTACCATATATAGCAGCACCATGGATCCGTCATGGGAAAATCCAGCGAAAATCAGACCGATGGGACGATGGGACGCCATCTCGGATCTTGGACGATTAAAACAAAGGCCAGATCCTCCACATGGCGCGATATTTTTAACGTTTTGGTGAAAAAACTTCAGAAAATTCCAGTCAAATTTGGTTGGAAATCTCCAATTTTTGAAAATCCCCAAGAATTTTTTTGTGCCCCATTCGAATGGTAGGTGTATGATCCCATCTAATTCGATCTACCACTGGCCGCATCCAAAAATTGGATGTTTAAATCCAGAGTTTCCATCGGTTGCTGAAAAATCAGCCTTGGCGAATCCACGTTTTTTTGGGTCGGAAATCTGGAAACCATGGGTTTTCCATAGAGTTTTCCACGTTTTGTTTTTTTGGTATATGTTCAAACAACCCCACCATTAATAAACCGTTAGTCAAGATAACCATCAATCACCAATCATTAACCATGATGAATAATAAACTCATTTACCGGTGTTTTAATAACTATGATTCATCAATATTCATCATAATCGCTCCAGTGAAAATAACTATGTTTTTTAATCCATTAATAGGAAAACCATAGTTATTAACTGGGGCTAATGATTAATTAATAGTTTATAACCATATTAATATCGAACATGATTATTATTAGTTAATAATTTGAATAATAATTGATTAATCACCAGTTAATAACTATGATTCATCATTAGCAAATTCCTCATTTTTCCCAGGTTTCTGGTCACCACTGGTCACCAGACACCAGGTGACCAGCGGCGAGGCGCACGTCTCTCAGCTTGCCGTGGCCGCCAGCTTTGCGGAGCTGGAGAAGACCAAGGGAGTCCCGACGGAGACCCGGCGGATGGAACGGTGGAGGGACGTTGATTCCACGGAAAGTCATGGAAATCATGGATTTTTCATGGTTTTTCCATGTCTTTCCAATGGAAAGTCATGGAAATCATGGGTTTTTCATGGTTTTTCCAATGGAAAGTCAGTGGGACATATGGAAAATCAATGAACATATCTTATATCATTGTCTTTTCCACGGAAAGTCAGGGAAATCATGTCCTTCCAGGCACTAATCCACTGCTATCTCATAAAGCTGGGTGAACATGTTCACCAACATCTCAAAAATCGGGGGTGAACCTTCTTCTGGTTGGTGGTTTGGAACATGATTTTTATTCCCGAGAGCGCCTGCGAAGGGTTCTTCGTAAAAAAGCAGCCGTTATACTACATCTTCTGATCTACATCTTCACACCTTCACACCTGCAGATCTAGATCTTCACACCTTCACATCTGCTGATCTAGATCTTCACACCTTCACACCTGCAGATCTACATCTTCACACCTTCACATCTGCTGATCTACATCTTCACACCTTCACACCTGCAGATCTAGATCTTCAGACCTTCACACCTGCAGATCTAGATCTTCAGACCTTCACACCTGCAGATCTAGATCTTCACACCTTCACACCTGCAGATCTAGATCTTCACACCCTCACATCTGCAGATTTAGATCTTCACACCCTCACATCTGCAGATCTAGATCTTCACACCCTCACACCTGCAGATCTAGATCTTCACATCCTGACACCTGCAGATCTAGATCTTGACACCCTCACACCTGCAGATCTACATCATCAGACCCTCACATCTGCAGATCTACATCTTCACACCTTCACATCTGCAGATCTACATCTTCACACCTTCACATCTGCAGATCTCCTCTCGCTCTTCTTCTATTCTCTCTTAAGGCGGGGGCGGTGCCGCCGGAGCGCCACGAAACGCAACCCTTTCGCACGAAATGGACGTTGGACGTCCAAAACCTAGGTAAAATTGCGACTTTGAGGTGTCCCGCGCAACCCTTACGCACGAAATGGACGTTGGACGTCAAAAACTGAGGAAAAGTTGCGATTGTCATCCGTCGCGCGCAACCCTTTCGCACGAAATGGACGTTGGACGTCAAAAACTGAGGAAAAATTGCGACTTTGAGGTGTCCCGCGCAACCCTTACGCACGAAATGGACGTTGGACGTCAAAAACTGAGGAAAAATTGCGACTTTGAGTTGTCAATCGCAACCCTTACGCACGAAATGGACGTTGGACGTCAAAAACTGAGGAAAAATTGCGACTTTGAGTTGTCAATTGCAACCCTTACGCACGAAATGGACGTTGGACGTCAAAAACTGAGGAAAAATTGCGACTTTGAGGTGTCAATCGCAACCCTTTCGCACGAAATGGACGTTGGACGTCAAAAACTGAGGAAAAATTGCGATGGACGCTTTCGTTTCTGTACAAGTGTCTGTGTGTAAAAGCGTCTGTGTGTAAAAGCGTTTGTGTTTGAAAGCGTGTGTGTGTAAAAGCGTTTGTGTGTGAAAGCGTGTGTGCGTGTGTAAAACGTATCTGCGTGTAGAAGCGTCTGTGTGTAAAACCGTCTGTGTGTAAAAGTTTTTGTGTGTAAAAGCTTTTGTGTGTAAAAGCGTCTGTGTGTAAAAGCGTCTGTGTGTGAAAGTGTGTGTGTGTGTAAAAGAAAAGCGTGTGTGTGTAAAAGCTTCTGTGGGTAGAAGTGTCTGTGTGTAAAAGGGTCTGTGTGTAAAAGCGTCTGTGGGTAAAAACCGTCTGTGTGTAAAAGCTTCTGTGTGTAAAAGCGTCTGTGTGTAAAAGCGTTTGTGTGTGAAAGTGTGTGTGTGTCTAAAAACATCTGCGTGTAAAAGCGTCTGTGTGTAAAAGCCTATGTGCGTAAAAGTGTCTAGTGTCTAGTGTCTGTGCGTAAAGGCGTCTGTGTGTAAAAGCCTATGTGTGTAAAAGTGTCTAGTGTCTGCGTGTAAAACCTTCTGTGTGTAAAAGCTTCTGTGTGTAAAAGCGTCTGTGTGTAAACGCTTCTGTGTGTAAAAGCGTATGTGTGTAAATGCGTCTGTGTGTAACAGCTTCTGTGCAAAAGCGTCTGTGTGTAAGAGGTTCTGTGTGTGAAAAACAATACGAAGGATAGGATGCAAACTAGTGTTTTGTACTTGTAATATATTGTCTTGATACTACTTGTCTCGCCTGCCTAAAATACATCTTTACTATATTGTCTTGCAATATAGTGTCTCAATACTAACAACAGAAGACCCTGCTCTCTCTCTCTCTCTCCCCCTCTTTCTCTCTCTCTCTCTCTCTCTCCCTCTCTCTCTCTCTCTCTCCCCCTTTCTCTCTATCTATGTCTCTCTGTGGTTGCAAGACACGTGTCATATGATGCCCTTTCCCAAGCAGCACAGTGCATATGCATGGGTTGTCACATGTATCCTCTTCTTAATCAATCTTACTTTTCACAACTTACCCCTCCATAGCTCATATAAAATTCACCAACCATTCACCGACTATTTTTTACGACTACCATACTCAGAGCTGCTTGAAAAACGTCTTTTTCGCTCTCGGGCCAACCGTCGTCTAGTTTTTCCATATATTGGGAATAGTAACCCCAACTGACTTTCATATTTTTCAGAGGGGTAGGTATACAAACCAACCAGTCTTCCTATCTCCCAACAAATAGAGAGTCTGTGGACTGTCAAGGGATCTTTGCCGGCTAGGATTTGGTGCACTTCGCCCAGATCAACGTCTCTCGCAGATTTGTTGGGAAGTGACACCGAAAAAACGGCAGTGGACTGTCAAAATGTCAAAATTCAATACTTAAAATTGAATGTTGATAAGCTTTGCATTTTGGGACCACATGTTCTGGTCATTTCTGGTCACTATTAGTAATTATAGTTCCAAGTCGATTCAATTTTTGGATCCAAGTTGAGTCAAGACATTTCAAAGAAGGGAAGATCACAAGCAGGTTGAGTTTCCATATCCACTGATCAACATGGAACCACGAGACCCTCAAACCACCCATGGAACCAAGATGGAGGCAAGCCTTAGGATGTTATGGGTGATGGGAATATGCTGTGTGCTCATGAACATGGTTGGAATGATGTTGGTAGGTTTGTCTGAAAATAGGATACCATAATAGATGATAGATTCTATGGTATTCGCCATATCCCCATGTTACGGTGTTTTTTAATCCGTTTGATCTCCATGTTTGAATGCAAAAGAACCGTTTCGCATTTCTCCGTCAGGAACGGGATGGTTTCTTCTTGGTGGGACGCCAAGGGAATTTCCAGTGGCGGGATTTGGAGAAGAAAAAGGCGCGCCATGGGCCACGGCCCTTGGGGATGGCGCCAACGTGTGATTTTGCGGTCGAAACCCCCTGTTTCTGTGGGTTGAAATCCATTGAAGTTCACCCACCAGTCGGAATAGATAGATGCCGCTGGTGGGTTGATGTTGTGGCCTGGTAGAACCTCCCAAGCAGATATACCAGATGCTTGCGGCTCAACATGTTTGAATCACAGCGGTTTCGAATCGAAACGTGACCACACATACCCGACCGATCCCGATCGCCGATGGTGTGTTTCCATCAAAGTTGGTACTCCGTTTGGGTGTGCTGAAGTTTTGACAAACATGTCGTAGTGTTACCGAATGGTGAACCAACATGTCGGGGATGTTTTGGGAGGAAATCTCAGGATCTTCGCCCGTAGGGAATCCACATCATTCCACATGGCCCTGGAGGTGTTGGTGGATCACCTCTTTCAACCCTTGGCGTTGATGAAATATGCCTGTCACCTGCAGTCGCTTGGCCAAAGTGGTCAGACCTGCTTAAGGTGAATCTCAGACGATGACGATTTTTTCAGATAACCATCTAGAATGGGGATATCATGGGGATATCATGGGGATATCATCATGATATTATCATGGGGATCAAAACAATGATGATTCATGGTAGGTGGTTTCTTAAGTATGTTCTTTGTTTATGTTCAGCCATAGCTTCATGGGATGATGGGATGATATGAGATGATGGGATCATGGTCCCAGGGAGGTTGGCGAACCAAATGCAAAGAAGGATTGGAATGATCCCCAAAAGAGATGAAGAGTCATAAAGAGGCTCAATTCACATCAATTCACATCAATTCACATTAGAAAGTATTTGACACATGGCGTTCTATGTTTTCAGGGATATTAATCGTTGCCTCCGCCAAAATCGAAAAACCTGCCAGGAATGTGGACTATTCGTCCATTGAGGTTGTGGATGCAGGCAGCGGGGCAAAATTGGTCAGGTTACCTATTGAAAATGATAATTATATAGCTGATAATAATAGGGATATTAATGGTGATTTAAGGGTGATTTAATGGTGATTAACCCTCTGGTAATGGAATATTAGTGGCTGGTTGGTGGTTTGGAACATGAATTTTGTTCCATTCAGTTGGGAATTTCATGATCCCAACTGACTTTCATACTTTTCAGAGGGGTAGGTCAACCACCAACCAGCAACCCATTTTCTCACTTCAGCCGTGTTGGCTGCAACCCTTCCTGTTGTTGGAAAACAGGTGGCCCAGATGCCATGGAGCAGGCATTTCGTGATGGACAAGGCCAGGGCTTCATGGCTGATTGGGGAAAGCAATGGTGGGTCCACCCATTTCGGACACCTTCACATTTCTTATGTTTGACATATTGTGCTCCTTAAAAGTGTGATGTGCTTGTTCTTATCACTGGTCATTAGATTTGCCATCATGGGGACCAAGTGATGAGTGAGCCTTTTCATGTTGTGGATGCATGCGAGTTATGGATTTCAATTAAAGGGTTTTCAGGAAAACAACAAGCAGGCCTGGTTGGTGGGATTCCAATGTTCTGTTTGAATTTGTTGTTGGACGACATCCAACTGGGAGAATCAATCGGGCAATGTTCGCGCGCTGAAAATTCAGGTAAAGAGCACATACCTGGACCATCAGATACATGCTAAAATCATAAGCATTGAACCTATATTTCAGAGGATTTCAGTGCATTTGTGCGTTCTTTTTGATAGGTTGAGGAGTTGAGGATTCCTACAGCTCTTTCTGTTGCCGTCGTCTCCCAGGCGACTTCGTTCATCTGCAGGGGCCTACGGCGCAACAGTTGGAACATGAGGGCAAAGGCGACGGTGGCCGACTGAGATGATGTAATGATCCCCAAAGGGTTGTTTAATGGTTGGTTATGGTTGGTTAATGGATGTCTAATGAATAACGGAATGGTTTACGAGTTTACGGCGTAGGGTTTACCCACATTGATTCCCATTCAATTCCTTGCTCCCATGCTTCGCAGATTCATTTTTCAGGAGCCACCTACCCCCAACTTCTGTCCCGCAGCCCGGTCCAGGCGTTGTGGTGGCCTCGATGGGTGATGTCATTGGGCCAGTGGCCTTTAGCTCCCTCTTCGCCAAGAGAGACTGGCTAAGAACCGAGCCTCGGAAGCCGCGCTTGGGCCATGGTGATTCTATATGCAACATTTGGCAGTTTTGGGGGGCCGCAAGCAATTCAAGGTGTCAGAACCTATATATATATCTATTGTTATTATATATATTATATTATATTATATTATATTATATTATATTATATTATATTATATTATATATATATATTTGTATGTATCTATAATACTTGGGGCGCTGATCTTTTTGGATATCCATATTCATCACCCCAAAATTGAGTCCACAGGCATCGATTTTTTGTGCCGAGGATATGGCAAAAGCCTTCATGAAAGCGTATGGAACCTTGGACCTTAACATGGAGAGGAGAGTTGATGCCATAGTTTCTTGCTATTTCTATAGTCCGAAAAGCAAATTGAGTCACTAGCTTCATAGAGATGATGTTGCAGATGTCATAGCTACTGTTGTTTGAGTTGTCTTGAGAACTGCATCATCAAAGATTGCAATACTATCGGGGATCTAGCATTAATTAATCACCTCTAGGAAGGCCCCTTTAAACTTCGTTCAGTATTTGAGTAGAATCATGTAGAGTCGACACAGCAACCACAAGCGATTCGGCCGTTGGGCCCTTTTGAATTGAACGGTGAGTAATTACTGGTATGTATCAATTCACAAACGACAGGATGGGTTGAGCATGAAGTTACTGAAGATGACCTGTGGGTGTTGGACGTGGGCTCAGCGATGATCCAAGAACAGATATGATATAATCATCATACTTGACCTTGTGTACCCATGCCCCTGCGCCCCAATGCCCCCATAACCATGCACCTTCTGACCCCCTTGTCCCCCAAGTGTCAAGCCCTAAAGGTGTGAGCTGTGAGGAAGAGTGGTTGATGTGAACAGGCCCTAATTGCCCCCATGCTCCCGTGCCCCATCCCCATGGCAAAGCCTAAAGGTGTGAGTGGTGCCATGTCTCCAAAGCGTCCTATGTTCAAGTGATCCAAAAGCCAATGTCCAAGTGATCCTGGCGCCGGTGGGGGTGTTTAACCCATCCCCAAATTAATCATGGAAGTATATAGATTAAACACACTATAGTGGCTTATACCACCTGGTTTAACAAGAATTGTCACAACATGTCATAAGTCATAAGAGGAGGGGCCAAACCTATATAATGAATTATAATGAATTCTAATACCACATTTGGCGCGATGAACATCCATAACTACCACCTCATTGGGATTCACCTGGGCCCTACAGGGATTTGACTCATACTGTCATATACCCAAATGACCAAAAGCTGATGTCACCGTTGTCACCTGCAGGAAAGGGGCGCAGAGCCACTGCAGAGTTGTCTGCCAAAGAAGTGGCCCAGGTGCGTCCCACTGGTGAGACGAGGGAAGAACTCTGGGAGAGCCACGCCACCAGAAACATAGGGTTTAAAAACTAAGACACAGAACATGGGAACCGATAGAGAATGCAGTTCGTATAGCCTCTTGAGAAGCCTGTTTAATACTATTTCCCACTGGTTCACAGCCATGTTATGCCATGATGGGAAATGGTTCATCTGATATTATAGTAGATTATGATATGATATGCGTATTTTTTTTCGGTACATGGTTTATCATGGTTTAGTATGGTGGTCTGACAGGTAATGTATGTTGATTCTATCTGGAATATTTTTAGTGGATGAGAGGAAGCCTGGCTTGGGAAGATGATTTCTATCAACTTACCCTCTAGTATTTTGTTGACGGTCTGCTATGGATTGTGTTCACCTTTTTTTTTAAGAAGGATAATTTTTCTATAAATATACAGAATATAAGTATGTCAAGTTACCAGACAGTAAACCTACGATAAACAGATAAGCAACCCTTCCTCCTGGTTTCACCTGAGCTTGTCGCTAGGTGGTTCAACCCTTCTTTGAGGAGATCAATCCCTGCGTTTTGGTGTCCACCATCGACGTCTATCAACGCATGGGCTGCTGGGATGGAGACACCGCTGTACCGCCGCAGACCTACGAGAAGCTGCTGGATGCCTTTCTTTACAGTTGGGGCACCCAAAAAACACCGGCAGTTTTCCAACCCGAGACTTTCGATGACACTTTCAGTCACCAAGATCTTTGAAGCTGCATTACAGGTTCTGCAGACTGTCACAAGTGGTGTGTGTGCACTTTCCGTGAAAATTGGGTATAGACTAGGTTTGTTAAATGGTCCATAGCGCTCAAAACAAGATGAAGCCCACGAACCCGAATGCTCACACGTATGTTAATGGTACAGATGTCAATACACATGGTTATGCAGTCACGCACAATACCTTTCTGCACTAGTTTATTTGAACAGTCTTGTACATGTTCCCTTGTTACCAGTCTGCAGTGCGGAGTGGAAAGTGTAGAGTGTGGAGTGTGGAGTGTAAAGTAAGGAGTGTGGAGTGTAAAGTGTAGAGTGGGGAGTGTAGAGTGTGTAAAGTGTAAAATGCGGAGTGTAAAGTGTAGAGTGTGGAGTATGGAGTGTAAAGTGTAGAGTGTGGAGTGTAGAGTGTGGAGCGTAGAGTGTGGAGTGAGGAGTGTAAAGTGCAAAGTGTGGAGTGTGGAGTGTGGAGTGTAAAGTGAGGAGTGTAAAGTGTGGAGTGAGGAGTGTGGAGTGTAAAGTGAGAAGTGTAAAGTGTGGAGTGAGGAGTGTGGAGCTTGTAAATTGTAGAGTGTGAAGCGTAGAGTGTAAAGTGTAGAGTGTAGCGTGTGGAGTGCGGAGTGGAAAGTGTAGAGTGTGGAGTGTGGAGTGTAAAGTGTGGAGTGTAGAGTGTGGAGTGTGGAGTGTAAAGTGTAGAGTGTGGAGTGTGGAGTGTAAAGTGTGGAGTGTAGTGTGGAGTGAGGAGTGTAAAGTGGAAAGCGTGGAGTGTAAAGTGTAAAGTGTGGAGTGTAGAGTGTTTAGTGTAGAGTGTAAAGTGTAGAGTGTGGAGTGTGGAGTGTAAAGTGTGGAGTGTAAAGTCTAGAGTGTGGAGTGTGGAGTGTAAAGTGTGGAGTGAGGAGTGTGGAGTGTAAAGTGAGGAGTGTAAAGTGTGGAGTGAGGAGTGTAAAGTGTGGAGTGTGGAGTGTAAAGTGTGGAGTGTAAAGTGTGGAGTGTGGAGCGTGGAGTGTACAGTAAGGTGTGGAGTGTGGAGTGCGGAGTGTGGAGTGGCAAGTGTAGAGTGTGGAGTGTAAAGTGGGGAGTGTGGAGTGAGGAGTGTAAAGTGTAAAGTGTGGAGTGTAAAGTGTAGAGTGTGGAGTGTGAAATGTGGAGTGGAAAGTGTAAAGTGTGGTGTGTAGAGTGTGGAGTGTGGAGTGTGAAATGCAAAGCGTGGAGTGTAGTGCAAAGTGTAGAGTGTGGAGTGTGGAGTGTAGAGTGTAAAGTGTAGAGTGTAAAGTGTAGAGTGTGGAGTGTAGAGTGTAAAGCGACGAGTGTAAAGTGTGGAGTGAGGGATGTAAAGTGTGGAGTGTAAAGTGTGGAGTGTGGAGTGGAAAGTGTGGAGTGTGAAGTGTGGAGTGTAAAGTAAGGAGTGTGTAGTGTAAAGTGTGGAGTGTGGAGTGTAAAGTGTAGAGTGTGGAGTGTAAAGTGTAGAGTGAGGAGCGAGGAGTGGAAAGTGTAGAGTGTAGAGTGTAGTGTAAAGTGTGGAGTGTGGAGTGTAAAGTCTCAGGTGAGGAGTGAGGAGTGTAAAGTGCAAAGTATAAAGTGTGGAGTGTAAAGTGTAGAGTGTGGAGTCTAAAGTGTAAATTGTGGAGTGTGGAGTGTAAAGTGTAGAGTGTGGAGTGCGGAGCTTCCCCCATAGACACGGCGACGCCACAGGAAAACCAGAGACTCGAGTCGAGACACGTGGGAGCACCAAAACGAACATTTCGTGCGAGACTTCCTCCAATTTTGATATTTTCGACACGTTATCAAACAGGTTGGAATGTCACAAAGTGCCCTGCCTGCCACGCAAAACGACATGACAACTTGCTTGGACACATTCGAAGAGGAGAGGTTTTCCAGCTTCCCCCATAGACACGGCGACGCCACAGGAAAACCAGCGACTCGAGACAAGACACGTGGATGCAGAAAAACCAGCATTTTGTACGAGACTTCCGGCAATTTTCACAGTTGGCAACATGACAAAAGGACAGGTTTTGCAGCTTCCCCCATAGACACGGCGAAGCCACGGGAAAACCAGAGACTCGAGACGAGACACGTGGGAGCACCAAAACGAGCATTTCGTACGAGACTTCCTCCAATTTTGACACTTTGCAGCTTCAAAATCGACGTTTTCCTACGAGTTTTCCTTAGAACCTGAAAATTTGCAACTTCAAAATCGATGTTTCGTGCGAGGCTTCCGTCAATTTTCAGCACATGTCACAAAATGCCACGCCTGCCACGGAATTTGCACCTTGTCGGCACCTGACGCAGCCCTGCCAATGCGATTTATAAACAAAACACACGCAACACGACACGTCTAAAGTGCTGCGCCTGCCACGAAAAATGACGATGGACGCGTCCAAAGTGCTGCGCCTGCCACGAAAACTGCAACACATCTTCTGAAAACGTCGCAAAAGTATTGCGCCTGCCACGCAAAACGACTTTCGATACGTTGCAGAACACGTCTGAATGTCACGAAGTGCCACGCCTGCGACGCGAAACGAAGCAACCAGACGTCTGAAACCTCCAAAAAGGACCACCTCTGCAAAACTTCCCATAGGCACGGCCATACGGTCCTCACGCGAACGGTTGCGAACGGTTGCGCTCGCGAACGCAACGTCGAGCGAACACACCCTCAACCCCCAGACCCCCAGAGTGAAACGGGAACCCTTGCTACGCATTCGGGAAAAATGGTACAAAAGCTTTGGCGTACTCAATTGAGAGCGTTTTTTGTGTCAGAAAAGGGGGACCCTAAGTGCTAATGGCTCATATTTGAAGATCATAATAGTCCATGATATTTTCCGACTTGAATATGGGCTTGTTTGAAAGCATGGAAATTAACCCCCAAATATATCCACATATCTCCAAATCATTCCATGAAATATGGGGTTTCCTAAAATGGGGGATACCTCAAAATCATCCATTTTAATGGGATTCTCCATTACAAACCATCCATTTGGGGTATACACTTTTCTTAGGAAACCTCCATACATCAAAAAACAACTACCATTCGAATTGACATGTTGAGCCCAAGCCACGCTGCCGGCTCCAGTTCTAGGTGGTGTGATCACTTCAAGGCATCCATATGATGCAGCCATTGCCTCTGTGGAATGACAGGCGCGCGATACAAGATCTTCTGAGGATCTTGGGGTATGATTTAAGGGGTCGAATGTGTGGTTAAGTAGCTCAGCAAGTGTGGAAGTTGATCCACAGGGTTTGTTGGCTGGTTGGTGGTTTGGAACATTTTTTTTATTTTTGCATATATTGGGAATCATCATCCCAACTGACTTTCGTATTTTTCAGAGGGTTGAAACTACCAACCAGTTGGCTATTGGAGTATTTCTTCACAAAAAACATGCGGCTGTAACGCCAACCATCATGGGGATAGCCGCACGGTCTCGGATAGTGAAAAGGGAAGGCAGCGGGCAGGCAATCAAAGGAATATAACATTCATGAATCATGAAAATAACTTTAATAATATTCGAAAATGTTGGGAAAGTAGCCAGAAGGAAATAATTCAGGAAACTTGTAGGGACTGTAAGCCAAGTTGAAGTAAAAGTTGTGTGCAAAAACGTATGCTATATATGAACAAGAGGAAGCACCAGGCAAGTCAATAGAAAGCGATAGAAACTAAAAGGTAAGTAAAAGGGCAATAACATTCAAGCAATGAATGCGCAGGATCAACTTCTGTTTGCGAGGGGCCGTGTGAGGTCAGATCGTAGTCCAGAATATGACCCAAAAGCCCCAATGCCAAAGCATGGTCGAAATTGGTCATTTTTATAGATTAATTTTACGAAATCCCAGGATTTTTGAGGAAAAAGTTGGGATAAACTAGAGCGAGAACATATTGAAATAGATAGCCGATAGCCGTTCTGAAATTGAGCAAGCGAAGAACAGGAAGGATACTCCCCAGCCAGACATGGTCCATGCCATGCCAACTTGCGCCGCGCCAGGAAATTCCCAGACTGGGTGTGTCCACTTCATTTTTGACAAGGAGGTGCAGTAATTCAGTGGATTCATCCTTGCGATTTTTGTCATAGGAAATGTGTACCTTGTGCACAGCCGTCAACAGTCCCTGTCGATGGCCAACCCGAGGCCATGTGATGGTGCACTTGCCGGTGCTCCTATGAGTGTTTTTTCACTGCCCAAAACTGTGGCAAGTGCTGAATTTCCAGAAAGGTGCGGCCTGGCAAGTCGAAGCGGCTCAGTGGTTAGAGACTTTGGCGGAACTAGTTATGAGGGCCGTGTGAGGAGCAGCCTGGTCGTATCAAAGTGGCTAGATACGACCAGCATTTGATTTTTGCCCAAACACAGTATGCACAAAAGGGTTTCTCATGGTAAGGATAAAGGCTTGGGTTGCAATCGAGGTAGCGGGCTCTCACATGTGTGTGTGTGTGTTTTCATGTGTGTTTTCATGTTCATGTGTGTGTGTGCATGTGTTTGCTCTCATGTTTCTCTCTTAGGTATACCTTCATTACATTGCATGTTCAAGTCATCACATTAGTTCAGAACATTGAACACTTGACATGAACTGCCAACTTTCATGGGAACAGCGATCTCAGTATCAATTCCACGCTTCCATGTCGGCTCAACGGGCAACAGAGCTATGTGGAGACCTGCCAGGGGCAGCGCCACTCGCCGTCAGCTGCTCAGCAGTGCATCACCGGATCAGAATTGGGATGAGCGAAGTCATACCGCATGATAATGGAACGGGTCTCCAACGGACTTTGGAACATGAATGGCCTTGAGATGGGTTTGAGCCAACGGTGAAACGGTTCGATCACTTGCAGGTAAATTGGGGCGAACACATCGGAAAACCAACCCGTTTTACACATGGCTGAAAATTACCTCCATCCATTGATGCTCCTAAAACCAAATTCGCGAATATGCATGAATATGCCC